CTTGATTTTCTAAGCCTAGCTTAGATGTGGCACTGTCGTATGTCCAGAAGTCGCTTTCTGTCTGCAATCCGTCTAGTCTCGCCGAAGCCTAGAAAAGCAGTGACCTCCCATGTCCACTCGCCGGGTTTTTAATCGGTAGCGTGGTTCTCTTATGCAAATAAGTCTGCTGCATAAAAATGGCAGTAGGCGCGCGTGACCGACTCTCAGAGAATGGTTCGACCACGCGAGGCAACGAATTCGCTTTGCTCCTGGTAAGTCACTGTCACTCCTATTACACTCCCCCTGATCGTATGATCACATAAGTGACAGTGAGGGGCTGGTCGTTTTTCACCCTTGCACTTCTTGGCGGTGGTATAACCATGACTTCCTCCCGGCTGAATCGTCAGATGTGTCCTGGTCTGAATCATATTCAGGGGATCATTAAGGTTCAAGTCTACTTCTTTCTCGCTTTCAGATGAGGTGTCGCTGCTGCTTGCACTGGAGCTTGGTTCTTGCCATTCATTACTCCCTGACGTTGTGCCACCGCCATCATCCGTTGGTAACAATGAAGTGAGCCGTGGACGTACATCTCCCCGTGTCGCGGTATCCCGTCGATGACTACAGATTGCGGACTGTTTATTCCCGTGATACGACCTTTCACAAACTTTGGCGTGCAGCGTCCGTGCGGATTTTTTACCCAAACTGCGTCTCCTTCTTTATACCCGGTCGAAGTCGCCCGGTTAGGGCGAAGGCACAATGTCAATTCCTTTTACTCGAATTCTGTACGAATGCAGCAGATTGGCGGGCGCAGAAGAGGCAGACACATCATCCCTGGGTGTAACGTTATACCAATACCGGCCTCCATAATAGAGCAGCTCTTTCGGCGCAGCAATCCGTTTGATTGTCCGATGACACCTCTCTACAATACCATTTCCAGATGGTTTATGCAGCGCAGCGCCGGTCGGAATCGGACGCCCCATTCTTCCATGAATTGTTTAAATTGCTGACTGCGGAATGCAGTGTCATTATCAGCCAGGATTTCTACCGGGGCACCACGTTGAAAAACACCGACTCAATTGCGGATTACGTGTGCAGCGTCTTGCCGAACTAGTGGTCGCCAGATCGAAAACCGTGTGGGGCCGCAATTGATCAGAGTCAAAAAATGGCGACCGTTATAGTGTGTAATGTCCATTCCCAGACGACTCAAGTTTCACGCACACTGAGCTCTCCCTTCTGCCATCGCACAGAAGCTGGATCTATTGACTGACACTGTTCACAACTCGAGCGACCGATCTTACTGCTGCTTTCGACACGGACGGGTTGATCCCTACGTGCGAAATATAGTGTCCGTTTAACTCCAGGGTGCCCGCTGTGTCGATGAATCTCAGTTAACTGAGCAAGGCTCTGGTTTCCTACAGCAGAAGCACATACTGGTTGAACAGGTTCAAATTCCTTCACATTGTTGAACCACTTCTGGGGAACTCTCGTCAACAAGTCAGCTCGGTTCTGGTCGGATCTAACTAGCGCTATGTCAGCGGAAAGTTTATACTCTTTCACAAGAGGCGTTAGAGTTTCAAGTCGTCGCCTTATGAGCATCTCGCTAGCGGCCTTGGTGTTCAGCCGAGACTTTCCCGTAAGGGCATTAGTCACCCAATGGTACACGCAGAGGAGTCTGTGTTCACATGTAATACCGTAGCCTGCCATTTTAGCGCGAGGTTGATTCCCTTCAATACGGCATCCAGTTCAGCCACATTGATATGCTGGGTGTTTTTATCGGCCGTAGCCAGCATGCGTCCTCGATGATAGCTCCCTTAGCCTCGGCGCTACTCCGACAGCCAGCGAACTTCGCGTCCACCCACCGTCTAGCTCCGCCGTATTCCGCACCATTCTCCTGTGCAGGATCCAGTTGCTGAGCCCGGGCAATGGTGTCCGTTATCATACGTTCAGGGAGCATCACAAATTTTGTCGTCCCAGTTCTGCGTTTACGGCGGTGGCTCGACGTTTGATGGCGCCTGTCGCCACTTCGCAGCCATCCCACACGGGAAGTGTCCACCAGCCCGGCCCACATGGAGAAAATACCTCTCCGTGTCATAGTCATAGGGCCGTCTACCATTCTGCTTCCTCGTCGCCATCATGATCGACCCTGTTCCTTCCATACTTCTAGCCCCAGCACTCTAGCTTCATCCTGTAACTTCTCTGGATCCTTGCTCGTCAGTCCGTGAGCTCGAGATGTTTCCTCACAGATTCCACCGACGCCACATCCTCGTTGATATATATATCATCAATATATGCAGACGTTGCTCTATTTATAGTTTCATTCTGTGCTAACACAGCATTAAGCACAGCTTCGCATTATCAGGGGCGCCACATTCAGGCGAACCCCAGCCTGGTCAAACAATATCTCTTCCCTTTAAACACAACTGTTTGATATGGCCACAGGATTTTTTCAACACGAATCTGTAGATATGCTTTCCTGAGGTCCAGAATGGACACGTTCGCACCATGCTGTCTCCAGTCTCGCAGTTTTTCTGCGCAAACATCCATGGCACCTGTGAATGTTTCAACGTAGGTATTTAGTTCCTATAGTCCATCACAGGACGCACCTTATGCTTGTTGGTCTGCAGCACGGCCATCAGTGGTATCAGTCCCTTAGGCGGGCCAAACTCCTTGTTACTGTACGGCACCAACCAACCATTGTCCATCCATGTTTGTAATTCATGCTCGTACTCCTCTCTCATCTCGGTGGATACTGGATACTCAGAGATCCGATTCTGAAGTTTCCCTGGTGCATGACCTGCCGACCACTTCAGGCTGCGACCCAAACTCCCTGCCGTTCATTGAATTTCGCACTGAAATCGGCAGCTGATCTGAATCGCTGCACAGACGGACCGTGGTTTTCAAACTCCACGCTTCCATGCTGCGTGATCTGGCGAACTCCACCGAGTGCCTTAATGGCGTCGATGCCAAGCAACAGGTCGAAATCAGGGGTTTCCCTCGCATAACCAGCACATCGATTGTAGCAGTATTACCAGTTGCTGTGCAAATTCTGGCGGTGCCCTTTCCACAGCAAGCCTGCGTGGCTCCGGTTAAGGTAGATACCGCCATACCCTGCCGACCAAGACCGACATAAACTCGCGCTCAAGATTGACCATGGCACCCTGAATCAAGGAGAGCCGAGCATGGTGTGCCGTCAACACACACAGTAATGATGGGTAGCACCGAGTTTACTTGCTGTTTGGGAGTGGACCGGCGCTGAAGTCTCGTCCCCCTCCGTTTCCCGGACAATTTTGGCCAGATGACCGATCTTGTTGCATCGATAGCAGCGTGTGTTATTGCCCTTCGCCTCTTCATGCAGTCCCTCATGAAGTGATTGGGCCCATTACATTCATAGCATGTGACAAGTGGGCCCATGTCTGGGAAGAACGGGGAATCTGGAAGGGCTGCACATAGCGACGACTGGTTCCCTCTCTGCTGTCTCGTCCTTTTATGATTGCCCGAGCTCGGGCCAATAGCTCCTCGAGAGACATATCATCCGCCCTGGCCGAGGACCGCAGGAGCCTTTTCACAGGATCAGGAAGCCCCCGCGAACACGCATGCCATCGCACTGTCTGGCACTCCTCCAAAAGGGACGGAGAGCTTCCGTAGATCAGCCAAAATATACATCTACGGTCTCACCCGGACGTAATATCGTGCCTCGAATTGTTAAGTATGCCGTGAATTTATCAGGGGCAAATGCTGTCATCAATGCTCCCTTGATTCGAGCCCGTCCGATTTCTCTTCCGTAGATAGTTGCTGGTAAAACGCGAATGCTCCCTGGTTAAGCGAAGGGGATGACACGATCAAGCCGCTTCACTCCCGATAGGTCGCACACCAATTCCAATTTCTCGAGCCATTCAACCACAGATCCAGTCCCGTCAAACTCGGGAATTATCTTTAAATCAAACCGGCCGTCCATGTTAGCGAAATAGCTTGTCGTATGTCCAGAAGTCGCTTTCTGTCTGCAATCCGTCTAGTCTCGCGAAGCCTAGAAAAGCAGTGACCTCCCGTCCACTCGCCGGGTTTTTAATCGGTAGCGTGGTTCTCTTATGCAAATAAGTCTGCTGCATAAAAATGGCAGTAGGCGCCGCAGCGCGACCGACTCTCAGAGAATGGTTCGACACGCGAGGCAACGAATTCGCTTTGCTCCTGGTAAGTCACTGTCACTCCTATTACAGGCACAAGGCCAAAAGTGTGGCGCACACAGTGAGAACTGAACTCACTATTTGGTCGTGATTGTACTAGTGAAGCAAGCTTGCTAACCATTACCCATGCTAAAGTGCCCTTACCACCTCCTCTTATGTATATCAACCTCAGTCAGTACCTCTCAAGCTTGAGTGACTCATGGGCCTTGTATTGGTTGAACAATTAATTAAAAAACAGAAAAGAAATATACAGCTGTAACCAAAAAATGATTCCATCTTTTCCATGGTCTGAAAAATTGTTTTTCTTTAAATATTTATTAAAAGCAAAAATGTTACATTTTTATGATTTGAGTATACATTACAAAAATAGTAATTTCTATATTTTTTGATTATCACAATAATCTTCTGTAAACGATTTTTTTACAGATTAAAAAAAAATTAACTGAAAATAAATGAATCCATTTTGACCAGACTCATATTTACTATTGTAACCTTTCGAAGTGATATTTTTTTTTTTTAAATTTTATTTCTGGTGACTGTTAATTAATCTTGTTCTAACTTGTGAAGCATAGGCAGGTTATAAATTTAACATTTGAATAGTTTTTGTTTTTTTAATGCACTTTTAATATTTCCAGGCATTTTAAAATAACATTTACTTTTCTTTATACAAATATTTATTTTATAAATAGCTACTTTTTGTTGGAGAAACTGCTGTGTTCCTTAAAATGTTCCTGTGAAACGAAGTGACAGAATTGAGAAGACGATCTTCTCACCAGACCAACTTTCTGCTCCAAATTTTTTCAGTTTATGATTGTCTTTTTGTTTTTTTGTCTATTGCAGCATTCAAAATTGAAGATAGCTTACCAGTTTAAGGCCCATTCTTCAGATATTGATGATCTTGCAGTATGTCCAAATGGAAAATGGGTAAGAAACCCATGAAATATTTTAAGTGTTCAATTGCTCTTATGTTAATAAAAAAAATATTGTCATTGTAAAAGGAGACTGTTAGTCATGAAACTGTTCATACCTACATGTGCAGTGTGTACATTCCTACACTCACCCTGTAGCATACTGACACTTTACTGCCACAGATCTAACAATGATTCTATTGGTATGGAAAAACTCTGTATACTATTCAAAGTCTTCATGGTATTAAAATATACTAATCACAATCAGTATTTAATGATAACTTTTCTCTGTTTTTTGTAATGTAAGTGTTAGAGTAATGAAGTTAAATTGAAAAAATTGGTAAAGCAGGAAAAATTCTTAAAAAAATTAAAGATAATTGTGTTTTTTATCCAGTTGGGTTATTTGAAACAGAAAATTAGTAAATGCATGAAGAGTTTTGTTCAATTATCTAGATTACAAAGATACCTTGTGGAATTTTCATGGATTCAACAAGCATTATTTATTTTTCTGAACAAATCAATTTTTTTTTGTTGATCATTTTACCTGTGATTCTGACTTTTATTTTCAGTTGGTTACAATTTCCAAAGACAATTCTGGCATTGTTTGGAATGCCAAGGATGGTAAGAAACACACTGATCTCAAATGGGCAGCAAAAACAACAGAACAGTACCGATTCCGTGGCTGTTGGTAAGTTTAGCAATTTTAAAAAAAAATTTTTTTTTTGTTAATGTTAAATATTATTTTTGTCAATACTTTATATCAAAGCTGTAGCAAAACATTTCCTGCCTTCATCTGTGAATGTTAGTATTCTGTATTTTACAAGTCTGCTTAGGATCAAACATGAATGCTGCTGCTGATTTCTAACCATTAAGAAGGATAGAGGGTCTTCAGGTTAATTAGTGCCTCTTTTTCTATTGCTGAGTGTTTTAGTTTATTGAATTTAATGTTCTTGAAAAGAAAGCCACTAATTTGCTAGCTTAATTTAATATGGCTGCAATGAAGTGATCAGATTTATCCTTCTTTGTAACATAGCAAATTGTTTTATCAGTCAAATATTCTACAGTGTTTTCATTTCCAACTTTCAAGTATTCAAATGCCTTTTCAGCCATCTTGATTATTGGAAATGTGTTAATGTAAATAAAGGGAGCAATTTTTTTTTTTTTTTTTCTCAGAGTAATTGTCAATCCAATAGGAATAGTATTCAATTGTTTATAGTATGATGCATTGAATTCATATTCTGGAGAAGGGAAACTTATCTCAGTTGCTTAATTGGGATCAAATTTAATTTTACCATTGCAAATAGTATGACTGAAGAGGTCCATAGAAGTCAGAGAATGTGCATTTTATGATTGTCAGTCAAGTTAAACATTTCAAAAGCTTAAGTAAATCCCTTGAGGTTAATGTCACTTTTCCCCCAGGAATAGGTAAATGTGTGAGAAAGTGAGTTGTCAACAATGAATTTACTTCTAATGCATTGAAGACCTGACACTCTATTGGTTACCCTTTAAATGGAATTTGGCAGAATTGCCATAGCTGACCACAAGCCTTAAAAGCAGTGTAAATCTGGTCTTCATCAAGTATTGGGACTTGTACTAAAAAATCAATATTGTGTCATATTTTTTGCCTGTTTGTCAGTCCTCCATAAGAAGTAAACATCTGTGGGAAATAACTCACAGTAATCAACTACCATTTTCTTCCTCAGCAGGAAGTACTTTGCTCAGTTACCTTATGTAATTAGCCTCTTCACTTCAATTGCAATGTAGTGTTTATCTGGAAAATGAGTATTCCATGACTTAGTAGCTACTGGTCTACAGCCATTAGTGAGATTAACAAAAAGTCAAGGAGAAACACAAATGGTAGCCAATCCAGAGGCATTTAATGGAGATTAAAAAAACCTAAGCTTTAGAGATGCTCATGTATTGCTTCATAAAGTTGAGTCCAAGAATGACATCACCGGCAACTTCAAATTCTGGTAATGATGTCCCCTCAACTTTATATTTACCAAACCATAATCAGGTATTTTTAGAATTCAATGAAATTGGTGCCATAGATACAGCTTCAGAATTTGGTTATGTGCCTCTGAATGGAGAACCAGCATAGAAAGCTGTTGGTACTACCTATCTCTATAAGTTCTCTTTAAATTAATCAGGGAGTATCAGTAAATAGATTTTCTGAGATGGCTAACCTCAGAGCAAGAGTTGGAAACCAAAGTGCAGCAGATGTTCCAGGCCTTTGCAAAATAGTTCTTTCACCACATCTATTACATGTAACTTAGTGTATTGGACAATTCTAGGGAATGTGCCTATTCCTCAAGAAGAAATATTTCTATTACCTAGAAACAGAAGCCAATGTTGTCTTCTAATGATTTGTCACTACTTGCATATTTTTCCACACTATTACTGGAAGGATTTGCTACTGCATTAACAATACATAGTTTGGTTCTGAACTTTGCTTGAACCTCTTTCAGAGCTTTTACTCGATCAACTGTTTGATTCTCAATCAACTACACATAGATATTAGATCACTTATAAAAAGCATCTTAGTATTTTTGCACTGACAGTTCAGTAATGCCAGTTTCCACTGGGGTACTTTAATGCCTGCGGGTATTTGTCTAATGTTATGCATCGAAAATCAAGAAAAAAAGGGATTGTTGGTGGTCAGGAAATAAAGGCACGTACTAATTGCAGAATAGCTTTATTAAATCTATAATTAGTAATGTAACAAATAATTTTTAATGATTTCTTTTTTTTTTTAAATTGCTTTGTTCATTCTCGTGCTTCTGTTTGAGTTATTCATTGATATTTTTCTTTATTTAAAAAAAAAAAATTAGAATTTCTTAAGACAACAAATTTATAGTACCACTGAAATTTGAACAGTAGAATCACAAAATATTAAGAAAGAAAGAAAAAAAAAGAAAGAAAAACCACCCACAAAACAAATTATATTAAAAATTGTTTAATTTTTAAAGTTTTTAGTATGCAGGGTGTGATGGGCAAATTGTCGCCATTTTATATTTTTTAATTTTGCACATGTGTGTTTGTTTCTTGATTTGGTTGACTACAGTATAGTAGGGTCAGTTGGGCACTGTCTGAGAAAAAGAGCACCATGACGCAATTCACTCTGCCAGAAATTTGGAAGTGACATGTATCACTTGGCATTCATGCCAGAAACTCCAATACAGACATTTCAGTGTTTGGGTGTCAATCTGAGGACAGTGCAGAGAATTCAGAAAGAGTTGGATGAGTCTAATGGTGATTATGAAGGTACAGCAGCTCAGAAAACTCCCTCTGATCGTTCTGATAGAAAAAAAACTGAATTTGTTGGTGAGGGCCTCAGACTCAACATGGAAGTCTACATCAAGTGCCTTCAGGAGGTAGTGCAGCTCTGTCTGGCAACAGGACTCTGCACCATGCTACACAAGCAGGAGAACCCAGTCATGGCTGTCAGACAGTTTCTGCAACCACATCACCACTTACATCTGGCCACCTAACTCTCTAGACTGCAACCCCCTTGATTATTATATGTGGAGTGCAGTTGAGCTGAACGAGAAACCAACAAAAATACTTGTAACACCACAGATGCACTGAAAGCAAGGATTATGGCAGCATTCACCAACTTAAACAAGGAGACCTTCCAGAAGAGTTGCACGAGATTCCGTGGTTGAAGTCCATGGCGATTTTATTGAATAAATTTACTCTTTAGTATTTCAAGATGTTTTTGTGTAATTTGGTAAATATATCTTTTAAAATGAAATATATTATTTTAATTTTGTGCAATTTAAACGACAATTTATCCATCGCACCCTGTATAATCGAAAAAATACATGAATGTGAAAATGTTGCCAACATTGATTTTCTCATTTATTTCAGATGCTAATCTAAAGTTATTTAATGCTATTCACTTTAATGCTGTGCATGTTTTTACAAAATAAATTTTTCATTTCTAAATCTTTTATTTATAATTTCATATATTTTTGGCATTAGTAAGTTTTCAAAGAATTGTTACATAGATTGCTATCTTTTCATTTTTGTAGCTTTGGTTGTGTAGAAGGTGACAAGGAGAAAATCAATCTCTACACCATAAACATTCCAAGCCGTAGAGCTGTTAAACCTCTGCCCTGTTATGTTACAAAATGGGATTGTACAAGTTTTAAATCTTCCAAGATTGAGAAAACTGGCACAGAAATCTTATCGGCTCTTTGTGTCAGGTAAATTTTTTTTGTTCACTTTTTATTCTTTGTTTTGCAAGTTGACCTGTAAATTCTTGTGGCAAAATAGGTTTTACAATTTTTCTACAGGTTGACTTTTGCTTACATCTTGTTAAAAAAAAAAAAAAACGAAACAAAACCACTTCCTTCAGATAAGACTATCTGAAAAAAAAATCATTCTTATTCTTAACATTGTTAATGCAATATTAACAATCCCAAAAATGTTTCAGCTTTAAATAACCCACAAAGGGTTAAGCTGTAAAAAAAAAAAAAATGATCTTGCCTTGCGTTATAGGTGACAAAGTGGGGTCTTGTATGGCATCAAAACAATAATTTGAGTGTAGATGTTGATTATTATTTCTCTTGTTAATAGGATAGGTAAGCAGCGTGTGTAAAATATTTTACTTACTTTAATTGAAGGACAAAATGAAAAATGACCTTCCATCCGTTGAAAGTACTTCTTCAAACTAAATATTTTTATTAATGGAATCATAAATAGGAAGAGGGAACAAAATACAACAAATATCGGTTATAATTGTACATTGAGAGAAAGACTGAAAATGCAGAGATGCTTAACTTTAAATTTCTGGCATTTGATGTATGTAGATGCAAAACTTAGCTTTTAACCACTTTTGGTTTTGTCTTTTATCAATGCTGTTTGTATTTGCTTTATGTTGATTTCATTTTTTTTTCTCCTACTAGCATATATATCACTTTAAAAGAATGTGACCAAGTGCTTAGAATGTTTGCTTTCTGACCATGAGACCTGGGTTCAAATCTCACCATGGTTGATTTGTTAGGAAGGTGACTGCTTGATGTTATCTTATGAAAACCATACTATGAGTTGACCCAAGCCTTGTAAGGCAAATTGGGTAGACATTGGCAGCCTTCAATGGTTGTGATAGCACAAAGTCAGAAGTCATTGTGACCTAGAGTTTGAGCAATGCTGGCCTTGTTGAAACTGTTGATCATGTTAGATAACATACTCTCTCCCAGAAACTGTAACTAAGGTCTGCTCAGCATAGTTGCAGTATAAACCACAGGTTGGCTCTGCGGGTATTGAACAAACACAAATGTGCCTGAGCAGTCGTCTGCAACAGGGGTTATCTAGCCGCCCTAGTAAACAGGCATCCTCAGATACAAGGGCCTAGCCAGCTTTTTTCTTTTCTTTTTTTTTTAATTATTATTAAGAAAACTCAAAATTTTGTTAGCTTTTATTAAGTTTCATGATTATTGCTTTTACATTTTCAAAAAAAGTTTACTTCATAATACTAATAAACATATTAACATAAAGGATGAAAATAATTTCACCATTTCTAACGTTCACAGCTAAGACTCTGCCAAGCCAATCACATTGTAGTGAACCATCTTCATTCCCTTCATGTTCCATTGGTGCAATGTAAGTTCCACTCAAACAGATTCTTCTCATAAACTGACTCCCAACAGTATGCTTCCCAATTAACTGTCTGGGGTTAACTGTTATCTTCCCCACATATCTTCATAAACTGTACTCCTTACTCTGTAACCCCCTACTTCAAGTGGCTTTTGGGCCTTGTACAGGGTGAACATTATTGGGGGAGGGGGGGGAGAAGATTATTAAAAATGGTATGAAGCTGTTTGTTGTTTCCTTCCTCTTTGTACAACATGATGGTGATGATTATTATTATTATTATTCTCTCTTCTAGTGCTGATGGTGACTACTTGGGTCTTGGGACTATATCAGGCAGCGTCAGTGTCTACATTTCTTTTAGTTTGCAGGTAAGTGATTCTTGTTGATGTGAAACTCCTAAAGTTTACTAATAGATAACAACATAACCTACAGCATTTTATTCTCCAGCTTTAACATTTCTAGCACTGAAGATCTCCGTAAAAAGAAGTTTAAACATGTTAAATGTAAAGTTTAAGCTCTTCACTGCAGATCAGTTTTTTAGACTTAAACACCTATTTTTTTATTTTATTTTATCTTAATTAGAAATATGACAGTTTTGTTTTAATCTTCTTCTTAGGTACAAATAACATTAATAGAGTTCTATAATTGAGTTCAAAAATCATTCAAAGGGGTGATGGGACGCCAACACCACTAAATGTCCATTTGGCTCAATTTTGCAAGAGCACTGTGTACATTCGAATTGTTCTTTATAGTTTAATATATTTTCTTTTATCTTTCTGTGTTTCTCACTATATAAGGCTTACTTTTATCCCCACCCCAAATTACTAGTGCTAGGCTAACATTGACAGTTTTCCTAAACATTAACATGTTCATCTTTTGATAAGCTTTGATTAAATTATAATTACAAATCAATATTTTAAAATAATTATATCAGTTGAATATTTCTTTTATTATTTCCTTGCCAAGTTATATGAGTGTTGTATATACAGTTCATGGAAGCTGATAAAGGATTGAAAATAAATTCAAATATATATTATTCCTCGGGCACCTTTGAGACAGTATAATGGTTAGCAAGCTTCTCTCTCGCTAGAACACTTATGGCTGAGTGGTGAGTTTGATCCTCACTAGGTGCACCATACTTTCAGCCTTGTGCCACATCTATGCTACACTTGTAAAATCATATATATATATATAAATAAATAAAGGGTCATTTTCCAACTTATTCAAAATGATCTTCATCCTTTCTGAAGAATTCTTCACTCAAACAGCTAATAAATTCAATGAAGATTTCTTAAGTTTCATCCTGATAGAAAAGTTCTTTCCTATAAGAAACAAAGATAATCCATAAAAGAGAGAGATGTGCTATTTATAGTAACATCATTTTGCAACCTGATGGGTGAATGCTTTCATGCAACAATTTGAACCTGTTCTTTCTTCCTCAAACTGAGCATTGTTAGTTGGCATTTTGAATACACACTTTCAAGTTGCTCTCCGAAGCTAGATGCATTGTTTAGCAATAGCTAAGCAATGCATTCTAGAAGAATCCCAGTATCTCATATACTGGCAGTTAACATATAAAAACAAAACATATTTGCAAGAAAAGGAAGACAAAGATATCTTCATAAGTATTTACATCTTTTACTTACTGTATTTTTATTTATTAATAAATCTTGTTTATTTAAAAACAAAAAACTTGTAAATATTATTCCCCCCCTCACTTTTCCTACAATTTATTAATTGCTATACTGACCATTTCTAAAGTTTACTAAGATGGTCTTGAAGAATTATAATGCTTAAATTTATTGACACTTTAAAAAAAAAAAATTCTCTAAATATATGTAACATTTCCTATGACACTTAACTAAAATTTGAACAAATATTTAAAAAAATTTTCTACATTGAAAGATTATAACCTGATTGACCCTTCTAGTACAAATTTGATTAAATTTGGTTGGTGTGTTTATGATTTTTTTTTTTTTTTTTAAAGGGGTCTGATTTCCAACACACTACTTTGGCTCTTATTTGGGCTAGATGGATGATCAGAGCGACCCGATCTGATCAGTTGGCTAGTCATGTTAATCCCTAGTACCAATTCATCCTCCAAAAACACAGACCCCTTTAAAAAAAAAAAAAAAAAAATGACCAAACCTTAAACACCAACACATATATACTAAAATTCAACACACAGCCACCAGCTAGAATAAAATAGAGTATATCATCACAAAAGATTATAAAGACACTAGAACCCCGGTGTGTCCAAAATGCAGCAGTACAACTCGAGAAACTTAGTGCAAAGGGGACATAAAATGCATAAATTGTAATTACCACCCTGTATACTCACATCTATGTAAAGTCTGGTGAAAAGAAATAATTGAAATCAAATATACAAGAAACATAATTTTTCCTGAAGCCAGGAAAATTGCTGAAAACACTAGATAAAATATTACAATAAAAATGTTTTCAACCCAGACATAATTTTCTTTCCTTTTTCTTACTTCAGAAATTATACCATGTCCCAGCATCGCATGGAATATTTGTAACAGGTGTAGAATTTTTGCCAACATCCTCTTCCACACGTGCTGTAACTGGAAAACATGATTTCAACCTCCTCAGCATTTCTCCTGATTATATGGTGCAGATTCATCAACCCAGTGAAGGTGATTGTTAGTCTAGTTTCATTTTGATCTGCTTCACTGTGATATAATTCTTTGATATAAGAGATGATTAACAATAAATGACTTTTTATTATTTCAAAAATGATTCCAAACTCAACTTTCTTTTTCTCTGTCTTAGTACTAAGTTTTGGATATTCTACTAAAGTTTGGTTTTCTGTCTTCAAAGAAAGATCATGTCTCTGTATAACTTACAAGTCGGGGAAATATTTAAAAATTTTCTTAAAAGATAGGTTGACTTATTTGAATTGTGTATAAACTGTTTGCTTCTGCCATTTCACAATCACAATATAGACCCTTTGGTTTTCAATAAATAGCAGACCTATTTCAGGGTTGAAGAGATTTACTTTGTTTCATACAATAAACCATTATTCTCCCGCTTCAGGATCCTTGAAATTGATCCAGCAGGACATCATAGTAAGATTTTTGCTTGGGTAATGTTATTAAAAAATCAGTTTTTTAGTTCAATTTATAACTTGGTGATTGTTGGTGCTGGAGTAGGGGTGGGTGTCAGCATTCATGTGCTCACTTCTCTGATAATGATCCAATTTTTGTATGTTTATTATGAATTCTAAAAAGGAAATCCTGCCATCATTGAAAGGTGAAAAAAATGAAAACCTTAATCACTACATAAAACCCTTCTCCGTTATTTAGTTTTATAGAATAATCACTTTTTACGTATTTATTTCCCTTTTTTCCAAAATAAATTTCATGGGTATTGTTATTTTATGCTAAATATATTTTTCCCATGTACAAGTTTTATTTTTATAAATTAAATATCATTCAACAATAGACTCCTGTTGATTAGTAGTACAAACAAAAATGACGTTAACTTTTAAACGTATCTGGAGTTTACCTAATTACAGAGTTGTCTCCCCTTATTTGAAAATTCTAAATGGAAAATCACCAGACATTGAGATTTCCGACTGCTATTAAGTGTCTATTCATATAAGAGTAAATTTTAAGATTTTTTTTTCTTCTTCAATTTTTAACCTATTTTAATTTACATGTTTTTTTTTCTTTCTTTTTTTCAGGATGGTTCCTGCGAATTGAAGTTGGTTTGTGGATAATAACTATTGGGGCTTTGACAATTCTTGCTCTCATAATTTGGCTACTTGGAATATTGGGTTACTGAAATACACTATCGACCTTGCTCCATTCTAAAAGATGATTATCCCTTGCTGACCACCATCTGGTATTGCAGTCTTTGTCAAAGGGCTGCTGCACTTTTGAACTTCTTTCCTTTCATATACTTCAATATGTTCCTTCTTTATATGAAGGTTGTGCAAGAATCAATTTCACTCAATGATCAAATTGTATCATAAATTTTAAAAAAAACAATTTTTGGTAACATTCTTTAGAATAAATATCACACAACTATATTGACTAAAAAGAAATTTAACAAATAAAATTAAATGTAAATCTTATTTTGTCATAGGAAAAGCAGCATAATTTTTCCTTTCTCAGCTCTAGGTTCATAACATTCTTGCTACAGACATTGTTTGCTCAAGTGTAAATGTGTTTGTAAAAATGTTATTCTCTGTTTAGTGTCAATGGTTATTGGACATTTATTCTCTAGGATGTTAACAGCATAAAATTATCATAAAAAACAACAATATCTGCAATCTCCTATAATATTTTACTATTTTGTAACTGATTTTTTTTTTCCCTCTGCCTTCGATGGCAGTTTCTGAATAGAGGAAAGTAACAAAGTATCCAATCATTTAATAAAAGAAAAAAAAGTGTTGAAATCATGGCTGGTCAGTTGATTTTAGACTGTGATATAAGACACACATGGACGGATGATAGATTGTGCTTCCCATTTCTACTTATTCTTATTAACAGGCTTTGTATGTGTGTTTGAATATATGTATTTGCGAATAGGTGAGTTGTGTACAGAAGAGAGAGAGAGAGAGAAAAAAAAAAAGGTTTTTAGTAATTCTTAAGATGCCTGATGTTTCTATGAACTCGTTACTTATATTATTTTATAAAACTCTTCTTAGATTCTAAATTATAAAATATCATATAAATCAACTGATTTGTTAAACTGATGCTTCTTAAGTCTGACTGCTCTGTAGTTGGCAAGGAAAGAAATTGTAATTTTGGGATTTAATAAATTTTATCTTACAATTATGCTTCTTCCTGAAAGAAACTACTTAGCAATTACACACAATAAAAAAAATCAGTGAATACCAATCAAAAAATATTTTTTTAAAATCCCTAAAATTTAATGAAAATTTTTATTTACTACACACCTTGATACTGGTACCTGGCCAGAGCATTAAGAAATCAAATAAGTGAAAAAAAAAAAAATGCCACTGAACTCACATTAATGTGGACATGTAGCATCTATAAAGTCACTTTAAGATGTACTGTCTTTTTGTCACAAGATTCATTTTGGTCTAAAAAGAATATATTTTTTTTTTTTTATGATTCCTGACTTTGTCAATTTCTTCTGCTGGCCTCCACCTCATCATGTTTTTGTATATTTGAATTCCAATAATTTAGCAAATGATGTCAGTATTTGTAACCAGCATCTGCCATCTAAAAATAATTGTTTCACACTTTATTACAGAGTTTGTTTTTCTTTCTTTGCTTTTTTATTTTCTTTTTGTTTTCTTTATATATACCACATTCTTCACAGGAGAAAAGCAAATATTTTTTTTTTATCTTTCTAGGTAACAGATGCAAGCTTTAACATATACAGTAGATATTATTTGAAATGTGTTATTTCTAAAACACTCATTGAAGATCCAAGCTCACCTATCTGGGACTGTGACACATTACCCACAATAAGTATGTCTGAAAAGTCCCAAAAGGCACTAACTGATCAGGGGGTGATAAAATTATGTAATGTGAATATGAAAAGGCTTGCTCTGTAAATGTTCTTTATCTGAACTTGAACAATATCAGTCAATTGGTAAACATTCTCTTGCTAAAAACAAATCCTTAGGAAATTCAATGTTCCATCACATGATTCTTGACAAAGATAAAAATGAAACATTTGCTATTGGTTATTCATAATTTTGTATATGAAGAAGAAAAAATCTTTTCTCTTACATTTTCTATTTAGTTGTGTTATTTGAACTTTTAAATTTTGTAATTTGCTAATGTGTAACAGCAACATGGTGTGTTTTCGTATGTTGCTGACAAAAGTCTATTGTTCCAAAATTAAACTACCTTTTTAATCATCATAGCGGACCATTTTTGTCTTCTATCAGCATGGCTGATGCTAATCTCCAGTAGAGTGACTCATTGCACCTTCTTGGTCTAACATTTTCCACCGACATGAAGTGGAGAGATTATATTGAATTAATTGCTAGATCTGTTGCTAAGAGTGTAGGTTCACAGTGTTGTACCATACAGTTTTTCTTGCCAGGATCCATGTTGCACATTTATAAATTTACCATTCATCCATGCATTGAATATTGTTGCCATATCTAGATTGGAGCTCCTGTAATATATCTCAAGAGTTTTAACAAAATCCAAAGAAATTTCTGTAATGTTATGAGTCCTGACCTGGCATCTCAACTTCAGTCACTTTCCCACTACTGTGATGTGGCTTTCCTCTGATTTTTCTTTAAATATTTTCATGGCAATTGTTCTAATGAGCTTTCCTCTTGGTACGTTGACTGCATTAATTAATGCATGCCACTAGATTGGTAACTAGTTCTCATCGTTTTACTGTTGAAATAGAATAGAACTTACAGTGACATCTAGCTAACAACTTCTTTTCTTGCACTTCTCATCCATGGAACTCTCTTCCTGTTTCTTTGGCATCTAGTCTTCAGGAGCTTAAATGCAATATCAATTGCCATTTTTTTGTCTTCTGGAATCCTGTTCTTTTATTGTCCTTTCTTCTCATTCTTTTTCCCCCTCACTTGATTTAAAAAAAAAAAAAAAAAATTGTTTCACAAGTAAAAAGTTGCTGATTGTCATTATGAAAACACCAGATGAAGAGAAGAATAAATCATCAGACAAGAGTTGTTCTCCGCATTGCAGCAGGAATTGTAAGTAAGCCTCTGCATTTTTGAAATCAATAATTTTAAATAAGACTAAAAAAACAGTAGTCAGAATATTTTGTTTTATTTTCCACACTGTTTACAAATTATGCTTTTAAAAATATATTTTCAAATGTTATTTTTATTCTTGTTTTTTTATATAAAAAAAAAGCTTTTCAGAAATACTTTTTGAAATGTTCAAGTCTAATTTTTTTTTTTTTGTTTACATTTACAAAAAAAGAATCCTCCATGTTTGAGCATAAGTAGACCAAAAGAACTTGTTTCATTAGCAAAACATTTGTAATATTCCATTTGATAATCTTCAAAAGGTTTTTTTATTAATCTTTAAATATTCAGATATTTGATTTCAGAGATATGAAATATCTGAATGTTTTGACCAAAATTAAAGGAGATTAAAATATTTTCCAATGTGACACAGGTTTTCAATTTTCAGAGTAAAACTTTACCAAAAAGTAATGCCAAGCATATTTTTCTTTTGAGACTGACAAAACCTGAATTGAAAAGTTGTGTTCCACCTTTGTATATATGCTAAAGGAAGAGCTGACATGAGATTATATATTTTATCACTTTAAACGTTATTTTTAGTGTCTACTCATATTTGAGTAGATGCTCCGTTTATTTATTAAACAGTATATATATATTTATTTTCATCTACTGGCTTGATTTTCGAAAAATCTTATTAAACAAAAATATGCACTCTCCAGCAGGATTTGTACCTGTGTCCATCTGCAGTGGCCAAGTTGCCTAAGGCGTACCAGGCTTAACAGTAGTTTCCTCTGTCTCGAGAAATGCAGGTTCAAATCCTGCCAGAGTGCAAATTTTTCTTTTATATGATTTCTCAAACATCAAGCAGGTAGATGAAAATAAATAAATATACTGTTTAATAAATAAACAGAGAATCTACTCAAATATGAGTAGACACTAAAAATAAGATTTAAAGTAATAAAAAATCTGTTGGATGAATAAAAATCCATTATTTTCTTTAGAAAAAAATAAAATAATAATAATCCTGTTTCGTGTGTGTGAGACACACACACATACTCATGTCATTATAACACATTTTATTTCAGATCTTGTTTTATAAAACAGGTGGGATACAGATATGCTGTTCCCAAAATGTTATATCTGTATCCACACCTTAATCTGTATAAATTAGTTTAAAGAATATTTACAAAAGATAATTAAGCTCAATAGTTATGGCAAAGGAGAAGAAGCTGAGTGGTCTTGAGGTTCCATAATAAATATTGTGTGAATTTCTCATTTCCTCAACTGACATATTTGCTTGTCAATTGGGCAGACCTTTGTTTTAAAAAATAGGAGAACAATTTTAGTTCAGATTATAGCTCAAGCTTTCAATGCTTTGTCCTTATGCTAAATATAATGTAATATTTATGGAGGAAGTGTATATGTAGATATAAACAGTGCAGATGTAGAAATCAACACTGCATAGTGGCTGCCAGTTTCAAGCTTCTATAATGATAAATGAGTGGGATAATGTATTTGACAAAATATATAAAAGATAAAATATGGGAAAATCATTTGGGTGTTGAAAAAAAAAAAAAAAAGGTTATTTTAATTATTTTAATGTTAACATTTCACTCTGTGCAACCCTTGTTGATTTAATTTTGGATATATTTAGAATATTTCAAATTAATCACAAATGACTTTTCCTAAATTTTGACAATGCCAAAAGTTGTGAAATATTAATACTAAAACCAAAATATAATTTTTCACATGTACAAATGCAATAAATATACATATAAATATATAGATAGCCTAAAGATTGAGTTCAAGACTGTTGCTACTCTGTGTTGACCTCAGTGTCCACTCATATAATAACAAGTTGAACCTCACTAAATCACCAAATTAGATATCAGATTTGTAGAGCTTGGGGTAAAGAAAATGTTAAAATAAGTCATATAGTTGTATTACTGGTACAGCACACAGACACATGTTTTTTTTTTTTTTTTTTTTTTTTTTTTTTAGAAGCTTCATCAAAGAATGAGATGTATTTTTGGTAGTTTGATTTTCATTGGTTAAACAAACTTCATGTATATAATTTGTATGCGCAAGTTTGCCTATGCGGAATTTGAATGATTGTGTGTGTGTATCATATTTGGAGGTTGTCTGGATGTTGACAGTAGTGTTTTTGACATGTTTATAGTTAGTAAAATATTTATCAGGATTCTCAAGTATTTTCAACATAAAGAATTGTGTTTTTTTTTAATTAGGATGGCTTTTGTAAAATCAAAGTTATAGGTAGTCATTCCTTTGTATTAGGAGTGAGTTTAAAGGGTTGTCTCTCTTGTGTTCATAGATGCAGGCTTTTAGATTTTGAAATGTCTCACCAATGTAAGTATTTCAACATTGCCAGCACATTATTTATTTTATTACATGGCATCTTAAGTGGTGTTGGATTTATTTTTTCTTCCAAATTATGGAGGTGGTGGTAACTAATTTATTTTCAAATTTTGTAGATAGTGTTAGAAGGTATGATTATAAATTTTGTGTCGAAGTTAGAAGTGCTATTGGCAGTGTTTAATTCTGTGGATTTTGTATGCTAGTTTTTTAGCACTAAGGATGAAATGATGTGGGTCATGAAGAAGTCTAACTGTTTGTTCAATGTATTTCTCTTCTACAGAACATGTAGCCAAGAATACCTAAGGGCCTTGTGGTAAATCCTATGACTAATCCTGTTTTTATTTTTTGACTGTAGTTGGAATAGAAATTAATTAGATCATTTTTATTAGTGGGTTTACAGTAAACTCTACAAACCTAATTTATTATTATGTATTAATGTCTACGAAAGGTAGAGATTTGTCTATATCAAGTCCATGTGTGAATTCATAGTAGGTTCTGTGTTATATTTCTTTTTGATGTCTAGTAGATTTTTATTGTGGGGGATATAATAAAAGAATGCCATCTCTGTATCTTGATAATTGGACTTTTTAGGTATGATTTGTTTAAATGCGACAGACTAAAAATTCTAGGAAAATGCAGGATAGGACATTACTATAAGTGAAGCCAAATTGAAAGAGAAGAAACATTGGTTAGTAATTAGTTTACATCATTGTATAATTTTATAGACAGAAGGAAGTTTCTATTTGGATTTTTTGAGGTGGTTTCTTAATATGCTGAGGCATTTTGTACCAACAGGGATAATTTGTGTATGATGATTTGATCTCTCTCTCTCTTATATATATATATATATATATACACGCACACACAGAGGGTGCAATGGGGAAATTGTCGCCATTTTATATTTTTAATTTTGCACATGTGTGTTGTTTGTTTCTGATTTTGTTGACTGCATAGTATAGTAGGGTCAGTTGGGCACTCTCTGCGAGAAAAAGAAAACCATGATGCAATTCACTAAGCCAGAAATTTGGAAATGGCATGCTGTACTGCTTGATATGCTGGAAGCTCCAATACGGACATTTGAGAGTCTTTGGATGCCAACCTGAGAACAGTGCAGAGGATTCGAAAAGAGCGCTTGGGCTGGATAAGTTTAATAGTGATTACAAAGGTGTTTGGAGTGATCATGAGTGATGGTGACATTATGCCTCCATTCATCTTCCCACAGGCTCTCAGACTCAACATGGAGGCCTACATCAAGTGCCTTAAAGAGGTACTGCTGCCCTGGGTCAAGAGGGTGGCTGCTGAAAGATCCTATGTCTGGCAACAGGACTGTGCACCATGTCACACAAGCAGGAGAACCCAGTCATGGCTGTCAGACAATTTCTGCAACTATATCACCCTTTACATCTGGCCACCTAACTCCCCAGACTACAACCCCATTGATTATTATGTGTGGGGTGCAGTTGAGCAAGAGACCACTTCTTGTAACACCAAAGATGAATTGAAGGCAAGGATTATGGCAGCATTCACCAACTTAAACAAGGAGATCATCCAGAAGAATTGCAGGAGATTCGAAGTTGTATGGATGCTGTAGTTGATGCCAGTGGCAATTTTATTTAATATATTTACTCTGCAGTATTTAAAGAAATTTTTGTGTAATTTTTGGTAAATGTATCTGTTAAAATAGGATGTCACTATTGTTTTCATTTTGTGCAATTTAAACGATAATTTATCCATCGCAACATATATATGTAAAAAAGCATGCTTGCACAAAATTATATATAAACAACTCTAGTTCAGATTAATAAAAGGGTGGAATTAATTTAAAAAGTATATTACACATTTAGATTAAGGTTTTTTTTTTTTTTCTTGGCGTGGGGTGGGTTTTTTTTTTTTTGTGAATCTATCCTAATTCCACCCTTTTATTAAAATGCAATAATTAGTTGATATTTATAGTTTTCATTTTCTAATTTTCATAAATATTGACAGTTCTAGAGTGAACACAATTTTTACCTTCTTACAAATAGTACAAATATCTTTATAAGGTTAACTTTTATATAAGTGTTTTCACCCCCACCCCGCCAACTTCTCAAGTATGAACTTCCTGCTAAATATTGAAAATCTGCAAGTAGGGGAGATAACTACAAAATTTCTCCTGAAAATTTATAGGTGAACATAGGTTAATATTTTCAAACAAGCATTGCAGTTTATACAATGCTGTAATTTTCATATACTATTATATACTACTTTTCCTGCATGATGTTAAATTATATATATATTGCGTATGTATGTGACAAATATTTTTATAGTTGGAATGGCAATAATTTATTTCTGGAGTAAGGAATTCATCTTGGTTGTTAGCTGTACTTTCTGGCTTTCTCGGTAATTTGAAAATGTTCTGTGCATTGTTCTCATTCCAAGGGAATATTTCATAATTAGCTGAGTATTGTCTGTTGAAAAACCATGTGGTATTTCTAATTATACTTATCTTAAAAAATAAGAGTTTTACAAGATATCCCTCGACATGGGTAGTGTACTGAGGATTAAATAAAGGGTTCAGTTTGGAATTCCCTGTAAGTTACCTGGATTAACATTGTATCTGAAGAAAGCCAGGGTACAACAACCAAAACATTGTGATAACAACAACAAAGTTCACATGTAAATAATGATGATAATTCCTCATCCCAAAAATCCAGACAGAAAATATGATAGATCTGTATATGCTGTAGTTATATTTGTATCATTAATTTTGTGCTTGTGTAGACATGCTAATTTTTAATCTTACCAAACTTATATGTCAATTGATAAACAAAATACTGTTTAAGCACAAGACTACTGACAAGGATTTATTTTAGGGAGTGTGGAGTAGTACTCAAACTAAACAATGTTATTTGGTCAGATTTTGGAAAGTGGGTTGAACTGGGAACTTTTCAGTACCCCCTTGTATATTACATTTGCTATGTAGATTTTATAAGTATTCTGAAGTAATAAGAATAATTTGCTTTGAAGAAAATTACAAATTGGCCTTAAAGTTTTTAATCAAATTTTTTTTTTGTAATGGCAAATATTTAAAGTGAAATCTCTGAACTTTATAGCTTTCAAACATAAATATATACAATTTTCATACATTTTCAAAATATCAAACACACAATTCGGAAATCACAACTCCTTTGCTTAGTCAGTAGGAAAAAATAAAGGTTAAAAATCCCTGTAAATACAAATAGTGAAAAATAACTTTTCTTTTTTTTTTTTTAATTATATACACACCCATTCATTGTGATGATTTGCTTCCAAAGGCCACAGCTTTAATACAGACAGTATCCTTTCTTTCCATTTTAAGCTGGTCATGGCATAAAATCTTTTGAATGACTCACTTATACAGGAGTACATATTCTTTTAGTACTGAAAGAAAAAAAAGTATGAATTTCTTAAATAAATCCTTGTCATAAATGTTTGGCTTTGTTTCCATAACTAAGCCTTGTGGCAGATGATCTGACAACATTCATGCTGCTTATTTAAGGCCAATGTAAAACTAATAATTTTTCTTATTAATTTCTCATCAAATGACATATTTTCTAAAAATTAACAATGTTCAAACATTTTCTTTATGCCAACAAAAGTTGTGTCTTAAGACATTTAGTTAGATTTTCCTGCACTATAAAGAAACCCCTAATATTATCAGTATTCAATTTCTGTACTGTCATCAGTTTGAATGCCAACATATATTTCAATAAGGCTTTGTCATGTATATTTTCTACATACAGGTGAAAGCATGTGTGATAACCTGCCCTTGTCAGCTGCCAACCAGAAGAGGTAACAGTTTTTGTGGCTAAGGTAGTACTGCCACTCCTGATGCCACAGCTTGAGGTTGGTCACATTTAGTAGGAGATCATAGGTAGATTGCAGGAGGAATGATATTGCCAATGGCAACATTGCAATCAGGGTATTCCATGATAGCTTTATTGGATCAATATCACTCCATGGTGTCCAAGCAGAATGTTTGAATTGAGAAACAACTGTTAGCTGCTCTTCCTCCAAATTCCTGATTTCAATCACCAGGTCTCATTTTCCCATTGGACCCTGTTTGGAGAAAAACTGGTTGCCTGTGCTACCCAGGTTAGGTCGATTAGTTTACCCCAACCCCTAATCTCTTAGGTAGCTTCTGCTACTGAGCTTTTGGTGCCTGTTTGTTCGTAGGTTACAGCCAGATCTCAGACTCCTCATTCAAGTTCCTCCTCATCATGTGAAGATGTATGTTCCTGACCTTCTGCTCTTCCACCAATGAGAAGATGGGAAATGACAGGTTTCCAGCATTGGTATAGAGTCCCACTGTGGAGAAGCAGGGGAACTCCAAGCCAATTGTTTATACACTATTGTGTCTGCTGAATGTGAGACAGATTAATATCACACATGCAATGGCCACAGAAGCCTGGGCAGCAAACCATGTTGGTAGCACAAAGTCTTCAGTTTTGTCAGGGAGATTGGTTCTGTCAATGGATTCAAGTTCATCTTGTGCCACTTTCTTCACCTCTTTACCTCAGTCAGTGGAATTTCATACAGCTGTCCAAGGCTCTTTACTGGTTTCTCTTTTACTGTTGGGGTCATGTCACCTACAGTCAGACCATCAAGAAGAGCAAACATAAATGAGCTGGCCACATCTCTTGTCTCGGAGACAACAGGTGGACTATTATAGCAACAGAGCGAGCACCAAGGCAGTGGAAAAGAACTAGAGAATGACGACAGGCAAAATGACGCATCAATCTGACCTGATACCTTAGCCTCACATAGCCTAGAAGTGATGGAGGTCAGCCAAGGTGGGATTCCTCCAATAGAAGTGAGAAAGCCCTGGAGATTATATATATATATATATATATATATATATATATATAATCACATGTTAGTGTGATTGCACCAGAAATGTACAATCTTTATAATTCTGTTTGTTTCTTAGTTAAAGCATACGTTACATGCTGCCAATACCTCATAAATAATGGACTATTCCATTTTGATCATGAGGAAAGATGGTAAAGACATATCAGAGATGCTGTCTGGTTTCAGAGAGAAGATAGAGGAGGCAATAACACTCATGTGTTTAATCATAAAACTCAGCAATTTTGGATCATTTCATTTGTACCCTCTTACATCTTTAAATAATAACCTCATTATACTCATTATTGTAATTGCAATATTCTCTTAAATATTTGAGCTTAACAACTTTAATTATGCAATAGGGAACTTTTATAGCCATGGAATTTGCAAGAAACTTATTTGATCATTAACTTAAGAATTAGAATTAATCACAAAATTACCAAAACCATGAAATTTTTACACATATTTACATAACACAGTTATTTTACTATTCTAACAGTAGTTGGAATAGTAAAATTTCAAACCTATTTTTATACTAAAAATGCGCAATTTTATATAGTTTTATACTTTCACCATTATAAAAGATATTCGTAAAAAAAAAAATTACCCCAGCAAATGTTACCAATGATCATATAGTTCAAAATATTAGACAGATTTAAAATTATTGATTATTTTTTAGGATAGTATATTTATTTAGTTTTATTAATGGTTACACATCAAAATAAATATCTGTTATATAAAACTAGATTTTTTAAATTTCTGAAAATAATTTTGTAGATTTTGAAAGCTCTTATACACTTTATATATAAAAAACAAAATAGTAAATTTTGTAATTTATTTACAAATATTCTTAAACATAAATCAGTATTAAAAATAAACTATGATAATATAAAACAAAAATTATAAAGTTATAATAATCATCTATCAAAAGGAAAACTTAGCTAATGTGTTTCATCATCTAATCAAGGCAACTTATTTTGCAACAAGTCTTTATAAACAAAAAGTAAGAAAATTGTTAGTTTGTCAAAATTGTTAAATTTAAAAATTGCTCAAATATTCATCAGGCTAACTGAAAAGTCTAGGTAAATTAAGGAGGATGCTAAGTGACATAATTTAATGTCTAATAAACAAAAGTGAGTAAATCCAATATACATGACTAAAAGAAAACTGTTAAATTCATAACCTCCTTTTATTTAAAATATATAATAAATTAATCTCGAATTAAAATATAAATATATAAAATAAAATTCAATTTATTCACTTTTGTTTATTAGACATTGAATTGTGTCCCTTAGTATCCTCCATAATTAGCCTGATTTTTGAATATAAGAAGATGCTGAAAAATTTTTGATTTAACTAAAGAGCTCTTTCAAGAATAAATTCTGATATTTATTTAATTAGAGTTTAGGAAGTGGGGTATATTTATAAACTTTCAGTACCCCCCTCACACATGAGAATAGAAATGGGACTTACAAATTTTGCTTGTGTAGCCATGTCTTGATGACCTTCTCATTACGAGCCATCCACCGAATGTTAACCCTCGTCTTGTCTAGAGCACTTTCAAAAGCTTCTTTGCCAACACCCAGCATTGGACGATTGTCCATAAAATATTCAAGCTAAAAACAAATGGTTAAAAATAAAATGAAACAAAGATTAATTTTTAGGTTTTTAAAAACAAAAAAAATAAAATTATTTTGAAAAAATTTGATTAAAAAATGAATTTTTAAGTTTCAAAAATTAAAATGTGAAAAAATAGGTTTCATTTTATTTTCAGTATGGTGTTTTAAAACAAGCAATAAATAAGGTTTATGTAATCATTGACATATGTTTCTACTACAATTATTAGACAGTCTTTACAGTTGCGTGCTTGTAAATTACACAAATATTGTAACTAAAACCAAAAACTCCTCGACAAGAATTCAGAAAGCTACTGGACTAGTCATAGAAATTTGACTTGCTAAATATTAAGGAAAAACATTTTGTGGCCTGTTCAAACACCCCATGATACAAACAGGGAGGTTAAGGCAATAGATTATAAAAGTTTTAGTTGTTCTTACATGTGCGTGAAGTACAATAATTTCATGAATTTGGAGATCAATAGCCTTAGAAGTTACTGTCTAAGAAAAACAAGTTAGTTCCTAATTCCACTGAATATTGATAAATTAGTAAATATGACAAAAAATAAGAAAATCATATTCTGTTTACTGATTGCTCCATCATTTTATATGATGGGATATGTGCAAAAATTCCCAGCAGTCTCTACACTAGAGACTGGATACATCCTAGAAAACTAAGGTTTATTTTATTCAGTCTTTTTCAATATTTACTGTTAAAATTAAATAGAAAAAATATTATTAACAAATTTAAATGATCATTAAGGAATTGTGTTCTTGATCAATCAAAATTTGTAAACAATTATATTGGCTACATTTCATGTTTAACAAGAAGATTCCTGCTACATCTTTCTGATCATAGCTCAATTAGGTCTCATTTAAATACTCAGGGAGACCTACTGGACACTATTTGCAACATACTTGTTAATAATACAAATATAATAGTATTGTCTACATGTAAGAATAGGCTAAAAATAATGGAAGCCTTAATAAAAAAAAACACTCAGCAACAACTATGAACATGGACACAGTATATTGACTGTGTTTGTTGAAAATAAAACATTCTATAATGCTAAATACATACATACATACAACAATCCATTTTAAGTTAACAGTAAATGTAATCCATCCTTGATAATGGCTAAAGGTATAGCCAAAAACACTTGGAAAAATAAAACATTGAACTCCCTTTCTTATTACAGTTAATGGTAATAGCTGTTTCCTTACAAGGAAACATTCAGTTGAAATTTATAAAATCTTTCTCTTAAAGCAATCTTTCAGGAAAATCAATTTCTCAAGCCCAGCAGCTATTATCACTCTTTCCAGTATTGATAGGGGATAAAAGGGTAGATGAGAAAAAAATTTCAATAATTACATTATTTACATTCAGACTAATGTCCTCATCTTTCATTGTAATTATAATGTTTCGGCTGTTGTTTCCCTCCAGTCTTCTTCATTTATCTACTGAGCTGAGTAACTATGGGGAATTTTGAACCGAACCTCTTTATTTAATTTATGGGAGTAGATTGTTCGCATTCCACTGAAATTTCCTGAAAGTTACTTGGATCAACATAAATCTGAAGAAGGCAGGAGGTTACAACACCTGAAACCTAACATCCTCATCTTTGTATGACTAAGTAATAGTTCCTAATGGTAGAAATTAAGATAAAAAAAATTTCAGCTTTATAATTATTTGTTGAGTATGAACTTTGATCTCTACTGAATTAAAATAGAAGTTGTAATGTTCATGGTTAGCAAAAATATTTAAATCTAAATTAAGTAAATTTTTTCTTCAGTTCTGAAAGAAGGAATGCTAGTACTCTGAGAGTTTATCAGAGAGATTTAAAGAAATTTAAAGTCAGTAAATGTTAGATAGGAATGCTTATGTTTTGGGTCTGTAAAAGATTGAAAGTTTATGTGGCTCTTATATTAAGCAAGTTTGACTATTACATATATAAGTGGTGCTGAAAAGTTCTTGGCTTGATGCACTTCCATAATCAGTATTCTGAAGTAAAATAGTGATTTTGGGAAAAGTAGATTGAACCAAGAACTTTTTCAGGTCCCTTCATACAGTGCTGCCTTTTACACTATTGACTTTAGAATAAGACAACATCATGTTTCTGAAGCAAAAAACAAGGAATACTACAATTATATAATACAACCCTGTAGTACAGTCATCACAATATAATTTTAAAAAAAAAGTTGTACCAATAGGTCTCATTATAATTGACATTCAAATAGATTGTTATCTATGTTGTACATATATTTCATTAAAATAATTAATTTTTCATATTAAAGAATAGAAATGTTTAGCCATTACATGTTTTCTTCTAACTTCCATTTTAAAACATCTAATTTTTTGGTGGAAGGTGCTAACTAGAAATACTTGGTAATACATTTTAAGTTGTTAATTAATCTATCATACTTTATTAATATATATATAAATATAATAAACACAAAAATATTGTCTTTCATTAAGACTGAAGAGAGAAAACAAAAAAAGTCAAGATATAAACAAACTTTATCTTATGAGCAAAAATGTCCTAATTTTAAATGTGTGTATTGGCACACATTTAAAATTAGAACAGTTTTGTTGAAACAGAAACAGAGGAATATGAAACAATAACCTCACAGCAGGGGAATTATCACCCCAATTTCAAGCAGAAACAGACTAAAAAAAAGTAAAAAAAACATTTATTTATTTATTTTTTTTTTTTAATCAGTTTCATTGAATTTCTTGTCTTTGAGGAAAAAGATGTTCAAAATACTGATTCCCAAACAACAAATATTGCTGACATATCAAATTCCTTTTGTAAACAATTGTTGTTGACACATGCCTACTTTGTGTTATATTATCTTTTATGCTGAGTGTAACTGCAATCTTGCTGTTACAAAGAAGAGGTTTTAAGCTGAAAAAAAAAAGCTTCTAAAAACGTGTATTTGTCTATAATATGTCCCTCCTTTTTTGACTAATTTTTGTTGAGAATTTCTAGTATTATGCACAAGAAAATACAGTATATCAATATATGCCATAATACAAGACTTGTGATGTTCTATTTAAGAGACAAAACCTGGATTGTCTTCAAGAAAATCAATGCCAATTAATATGACAAGATTTTCTTGTTTATATCTTACTGTTTCTTTGTTTTATTTTTTTCAAAAGTTTCATCAAAAGAAAACACTGAAATGAAAACAAATCATACTGACCTCTTCTAATTGGTATTGATTATTAAATGACATTGTTGCTGCCTTAATCATTGAAGGTAAAAGGATGCTTTGACCATGGCTGGAAAAAAAGTTATCATTATTATTGTCTCAGCTCTAGCAATTGTTTAATTAGTGATGATCTGTTTTATGATGAGAATATATCATTAATGTACAAATTCCTATTTAGATTTCTTTAGCTATTTCATCATGACAATTATTAATATAATAAATATGGACATGCCTATGAATTCTATATTGCAGTTGCTAAATCAACATTTTTAATTTAGACTTTGAGCTTTTTTTTTCAAGATAGACAAATATCAATCTTGACAAGGTATAAAGGCTGAAAGAAAAATTTGTGTGAGTGTATGTATTATATATAGAAAATTTCTCATATGCATCAACTACAGAATAGTCTACCCTCAAATCGATTCTAGTAGATTTTAGACAGTGCTCAATACCTAGTCCATAGAGCAGTATTCTTAAATATTATCATAAAAATATATAACAACCTTACTAAGTTATCATGGTTTCACCTCCAGCATCTTCCCTGTTTGGTTTTATATATATATATATATATATATATATATATATAAAATGGTTGGCTGTTTTTTTTTCCAAACACACCCATCTGCTAAGACAGCTAGCCAATCCCTGTTGCAGATTCCTGCTCAGGAACATTTGAGTTTCTTCAATACATACATATAGTGCAATTATGGCAATTACACTTTAGTAACATTTTCTGGAAGAGAGAACATCTGACATGATAAAAGCTAATATGCACTCAAATGATGACTAGTAACTTTGTGTTACACACACACACAGAGAAAATACAATTGAAACCTGGAGCCCCTTCTGTTTGCCTCAGGGTTCTTGATAAGATCCAGAGACGGATATGCAATATAATTGGCCCTGATCTGGCGTCTTGTCTGCAGTCACTCTCTCACAGATGTGCCGTCACCTCTGTCTTTTTTACAAATACTTTCATGGTAATTGCTCCAATGAGCTGCTTTCACGGATTCCAAGTCTTCATGAATTCAAGCATCCTACAAGGCTGGGATCCTGCTCTCACTCTTTCACTGTTGAAACTGTTAGATGTAGCCGCCTCTTCTACTCCAACAGCTTCATGTCTCACACTTCTCACCTGTAGAACTCCCTTCCCTATTCTTGTTTCCCTGATAGCTTTAATCTCCAACTATTCAAATGTAATGTCAATCGACATCTCCAGTTGCCTTGATCTATCTACTATCCTTCTCCTCATCCTCTCCTCTATCATTACTATCTGCTCTCGCTCCAAATCCTCTGTAACCCCTTGCGTGCTAGTGGCTTCCCGGATTGCTAGGGGTGAAATGCTTAAAAAAAAAACAAAAAACACCTTGAATAAGTGTTACATTACATCTGTTTAATTTTGAGTAAATTGTAACTGGATTACATCAAATGTTCATAAATACAGATCAACAGTTGCACAGATTCTAAAAGGTGTGTATCAACAGTACACAAATTCTATATTAATACATTGTATATCCTCATTGGGTATTAACATATTCAGGCAACAGTATAGGCCTATGAACATACAGATGAGGAATATCATCTTGTGATATATTATCCTATGTCACTTGAGGCTGAGAGGATGCAATGCAGCATTGCCCTGTACATGTTCACTGGGAGACAGATTAGGTAATCATGCTAGCCAGTAAAGTTGACAAACAACTTGCAGAGCATGTTAAGTAGCAGGCTTTACCCATTTGGAATAACACTTCACCTTCTTGTTGCCAAAATGACAGCAGAATAAGTTGATCAATTTTCTGAGACATACAATACATGGTTCCCAGTTAGCAAAAGATGTTATATGAAAATAAGACCATGGCTACTGACTAAGCTATGTACTAAATTTAGCTTAATCTAGAACAAGGCCACAATTGTGGAGCAACTAGCAAATTCACTAGAAGTGGTCCGGAAGACTAGTTTGTTACTCTCAAAATCACAATTATTTAAAAATATATTGTTAACTTACTTATCTACTAATTCATCCCAGTTTTTCTGTACATATTTCCAAAGAAGGTTCTTGCCAGCTGGATTTCTGCTGATTGCATAGGCAACGTCTCGGAAATCTTGTCTTCGGAAGTCTTTCATTTCAATGGCTGCCTTTAAGAAACTGATTAGAAAAAAAAACAAACATATATATCTTTCTTGTGCAATATTGAACAGAATTCATTCTTGTCCACTTTATTTTGTGATATGAGAATTTGAAATAATTACATTGATGGTGGTTTAGATAGAAGATAGTTTGTCATAATCTACTAATCACAAGAATTAAAATGCAATTGAAGTTGAAATTGTTGGTACTAAAATAAAACTAACAAAAATGATTAATGCAACTTTTTAGTTCAGGAGAAAATTCTGAAGAGACAAAAAATGTAGACAACAAACATGATCTGATTTCACAAAAACTTTATTTTTTACATTCTATCAATATCATAAATAATACCAAAAAATAGTCAAAAATAAAATTAGTTAAATGGGATTCTTTAATGATCATGAAGCAATTCACTATGTTAAAAGAATTCCTAGTATAAAATCTGATCTTGTTGTTTGACAATCAAACACCCATCAAAGAACCAAATTCAGAAACAAGCTTTACAGTTCGTCAGAATTTTTTAGATGTGTAAGAGAACATGACCAACAACTGTATATTCTAGTTTTGTAAGAAATAAAAGGACATGGCTAGTTACTCCCTAAAGGTAAGGATGGCAGAATTATGAAAAAGCTACAGTCTGGGAAGAGACTGATGATCTATAGTGGGAAAAGTTTGGTCATCAACCCTTGTGGAATGAAGTTAAGATAACAGAGAAGAATAAGAAGACTGAGAAGCATTGATGCAGATAGACTTTGACAACCTCCTCAGTAGGCCTATCAAAGAGATGTCCCATCTTGGAGCCTCTGAATGAACACTCAAAGATTCCATCAGAGCATGTATACAATTCCATTGGCAGAGTATAGAAATTAGGTTTAAGGCCTTAAAATTGGATTGTTCAAGGGACATATGTTTAGTAGTTTGTTAAAACATACCTAGTTGCCCTGAGTTCTTGGTCAGTGCTGAAATGTTACATCCTTTTGCTTGGTCAAAGTAATGGACAAATGACAGGTTAAGAGCGAAATAGACTAGAGAGAATTAACTGATATGAGTTACTTCCCCTAGGCATGGAAAGTGGAATGAAAAAATCTATGCCTGTGGATAAAGGGTTTGGTTCAAAATTCCAAGAAGGTTACCAAATATGAAGACAGACACCTGAAGAAAACTGGAAGATACAAAAGTTAAAACATACAGAGCATAATAGCCCAAATGAATATTCTGAATGGATAGGCATACCAGAAGTTCTACATTGTTGGGGATAGTTTAACATCAGTGAACTGTTAAATATTGATGAGAAATAATGAAATTTTAATTACGTTTGCAACAGCCATAATTTCTGTGTGCACCCAAGTGCATATATTAAGCGTCTCCTTTCTGCTGCATCATTTGTATTTAAATAAGTTGTATAGATCAAAAACCAATCGTCTTTGTTACCAAAATAGACTCCAGTACAAAACACAGTAAACATAATGTCATCGTTCTTCAGCCTGCAAAAATGAATGCAAATAGGATTTTTACTTTGCCTTACAATGTGGTTGATATTTTGTGATACAGAATAGAGTGACATAAACAAAAAGCAAGGATTCACAAATAAATTGGCATATTATCATGCATGGATAATGTCAAATCCAAACACACACTGGTCATTTTTCAAGTATAGGATTAGATACTAAGTAAAGAACGGTACCTGCTTTTGCAAAAAATGGTAAAATTCATCATTGGTCGCTGCCACAAATGAAAAAATATTTGCTGGATACTTACGGATTTGATTGGTTGTTTCTTATTGCAACTTTCCAATCTTGAAAATAATTGTTTACTAAACTGATGCATTCTGGAAGGTTAAACTTACAAGCCATGGCAAAAATTGTGCTCTGAAACAAGCTGGAAAATAAAGAAAATATTTAAGAGTTGCTGGGTATAATGCTAATTCACATCCAAGACAAGTGCTTATCAGCAAAATTGGACAAAAGTGAAAGTAAAAGTCATTTTAATTCTTTATTCTTTTTTCATATTGCATTGTTTGATTGATGGAATTGTTTTCTATGACTTTGAATGTTATTTAAAGCCAGAAAATACTTTTTAAATTGTAACAATATTACTTTAGCCACTAAGATATAAAGTGTTACTGAGTGTGATAGAATACAAGAAAAAACAAAACATTAAGAAGAGAACAATAAAAGAATCGGAATTAAGACGACAAGTATTTAAATTTTTAAAGATCAAAGTTGGCTGGAAAGCATGAAACCAAAAGATTATAAAAATAATTTACTTCTTATCATTTCCAATGTAGAATCCCACAATGGAAAAATCTTGCACAGCAGTGTCATTTTACATATGCGGTTTTAGGTCAAGATGTACAAACAATGGAATTTTCTGTTTCAATGAAATTTTGAAAGGCACCATGAAAAAACTGATTATACATGACCAATAGAGGAAACTGTAGGCAAAAAAATGAAGAGAAATTAGGTTTTATACACTTACGTGTTGTTCCTGTATCTTACATAGGAGAAAGAAGGTCGAAGAATATGTTGCATGTATTCCTGAAAATGTACACAAAAAGGTTTATATACAGATATATGAAAAAAAATCAGATATAACTAAAATATATCTGCAAAAGGACAATATGAGTAAAGACAAAAAGAAAACTTATCTTAGCCATTGCATTTTGTACTCTGAAGGACTTCATCAAGGCAAATGTGAGGATTTTATTTTGCAACAAAACAAGAGTTACTGGTGAGTGATACCATGGAAGAGTGTCCAGGCATGGGTGGTGAGGTCCCTAGCGAGTGATACCCCTGAAGAGTGTTTAGACATGTGCAATAAGGTCACTAGTTTGATCCTCCATCTAAGTACTGACTGGGCTCAACACTGCTTAATGTTAGTAATCAAACAATAACTGGTGTTTTCAGTGTGATTTAACTAGCTAAGGTCACCAGTTAGTGATCCTGTGGGAGAGGGTTCAGGCATTGTGGGCAGACCTTGTGTGTGTGTGTATATATATATATATATATATATATATATATATATATATATATATATATATATATATATATAAGACATTAAGAGAAAGATATATGAAAGAAACAATTTATATATATATACATACATACATACCTCAAAGCATCCATAATCTGCTTTCTCATAGAACATAGTTCTTACAAACATTACTTGTTTGTATGCTGCAGTCATTGGAACATCATCACGTTCATACTGAAGATAGTTTAGAACATCCAATGCAATATAATCATCCAGCATTTCAGCCCTAAAAGACATTAAACACTTAACATATAAAAAAACAGAGTATATATGACAAATAATACATAAATAAAAACAACTGTAACAAAATCGATTGTAAATCAACATTATCTTAGGGCTCAACGAAGGACAGAGAAAGTATTATTGTGTAAAGTGAAGTGAGTATGATTTATTTTTGTTTACAGACAAAAATCTTTCACTGAACACTTTCTTCTTTATTTAGATTGGATTATTTTTATTTTGGTTGATTTTGTTTTTAGTTATTTTCCTCTTCAGACTAAATATATTGTGGTATTCTAGTTTTGCTACTTATTGTTCACAGGTTATTTCTGTAATGCTTTCTATTTTTATTGATAATTTTCCATGAAATAAAATACTGATTTTCAGATGCACTTTATTTCTTTTAAGTATGTGCATCAGGCCTGAAGCTAGTCAAATCAATAGTCTTCAACTTCAAATGCTGCATGTTGAGAGTTAAGAAATCATGTGATCTTCTCTTGTGACACCTCTGTGGCATCACACTGAACATTTATTTTTAATCATTTCAACATCCAACAGATTTTTACATACACAATTGTGTATGTGTGTATATATATATATATATATAGAGAGAGAGAGAGAGAGAGAGAGAAAGAGAGAGATATCTTTGTTAATAGATATCTAAGTCTGTTCACATCTATTTTTGTTCATATTTATCTAGCCAGCTGGCTAGTTATCCAAGTCTCTTTATATCTCTCAGTTCATATGAATCATGTTAATAAATTGAAATCATTTTAAAGGCTTTTAAGAAGTTGACTAACTGGCAAAGAAACAAATAAACAAAAACATCAACCCTAATAAAAAGAAAGGAAGAGATATGAGAAACATTTTTTGAAAATTTTGAGAGCTACTTACTCTGCCAAACTCCAGGCATCATCAATTATTTGTGCCCTGTTTGCAGGTGGAATTTTCTGAAAAAGTCAACAGCCGAAGTGTTGTAAATCAAATGCAAAATATAAAATAAGGTGACCCTAAAAAAAACTGGACAATTAAGAATCAGTTATCCATGTTAGTTTACTCACAATATCAGCAAAAGTTTTTTTTACTGATTGATTGATTCGTTTTCTATGGCTCATCAACCCTTTGCAGGTTACTTAAAGCCAGAAAATATTTTTACATAGTGAGAATTATTTTGGAGATGATAATAATTTAGTGATACAAGTTTTACTAATTAACCCATAGGTGGGGGAAAGAGCTGAATTCATATCTTTCCCAAGGTTATTTGCACATAAGTGCAACTGAAATTGAAAACGTAACTCTCGGATTAACAACTCCAAGCCATTATCCATTACACATCTGGTATTTCCATGCAGTCATCCACCTAGGCACTGACCAAGCTCAATGTTGCTTAACTTTGGTGATCAAATGGGAATCAGTGTTTCAGCACTATATGGTCATAATCCCAGCAAAAGTATGAGGGAATGGTAAATGTAATGATAGTAATAGAAGAGATTTTGAAACTTTTGGTGGAATATGATACAATGCACAATAATTAACACCACGGAAGCAAGTTTAGTTCTGTATTGTTCTCACTGTGCATTTCTTTTGTACCAAAATGATGGAAAAATATATGCAGTGTGTGTGTGTGTGGGGGGGGGGTCAGATATTTGTGCACCATGAAATTTTTAATTAGCATGGTTATAACTTCTGAAAAAATTTAAAATCCATACAATATTTCTATTGAAAAAGCATTGAATAATGCTGTCATATGTAAAAAATAGATAACCTTGTTATAAATAAAATTATTTATATTTTATAAAATTTCAAGGCAAAAAATATTTGTACAAAATATGTCTTTAATATCAAAAGTCCTAAATTACCTTTACATAATTCTTTGTAAGATTTTGCTAGATTCTTCCAATTATCTTATTACCAGAACAATCTAGAACATTCCGCAATTCATTTCTTATATAAAGTTATCTCTACACACAAATCATACACAATAATTATTATGGAAAAAAGCAAGGAACTATCAAATTTGCAAAAAGAATTGATCATCAAACATTGGAAGGAAGGTAAAAGCCATAGGAAAATAGATTTCCTAAATATACCATTTACTCATCCAACAGTTACGTTATTGCTAAGTATAAAAAGGTGAAAACTGTTGAGAACAAATCAAGATCTGGTGCACCATGCAAGATTTCTCCCAGATCAATGAGAAGAATTCAGCACAAAATTCAAGAAAATCCAATGACTACTCAGAGAGAAGTACAGGAAGAATTAAAAGCATCAGGTATTATTGTTACGAAGCGAACAATAAACAATGAACTTCCCAGAAGTCAACTAAGATTGTGCTCTCCAAAAAAAAGCTCCACTACTATTGAAGAAACATAGGGATGCCTGGTTAAAATTTGTTTGTGAGCATAAGAATAAACCTGAATCATTTTGGAAAAAGTGTTTTATGGACAGATGAAGCAAAAATTGAACTAGTTGGACGTAATTCATTTGGAGAAAAGACACCACAGCTTTTGCATAGAAGAACACAATCCCAATGGTGAAATTTGGTGGTGGAAATATGGTTTTGGGATGTTTTTCTGCTAATGGTGTTGATAATTTAGGGATAATAGATGTTAGAATGAATTCAAAAATATACCAAGATGTTTTGGACTCTAATTTATTTGGGTAAGTAGTAAAGCTTGGACTCCCAAATGAATGGATTTCTCAACAAAATAATGACCTTAAACATATGACTAAATCTATGAAAAAATGGCTTATTGAAAACAATGTCAATACACTCAAATGAACATCACAATCTCCAGACATGAATCTAATAGAGAATTTGTGGTGTTTATTAAAAATTCAAGTTAATAAAAGAGCTCCAAAAAACATGTTGGACCTAAAGAGAATATGTAAAAAAAAGAATGGAGTAAAATACCAACAGAAATTTGTAAATCATAGATTAAAAGCTACAGAAACAGACTGATTGCTGTTGAATTGAGTAAGGGATATTCTAGAAAGTATTAAATAGGTATTATAATTTTGTACAAATACGTTTTTGCCTCCAAAATTTTTAATTTCATATAATTTCATTAATATAACAAACTAGCAGCATATCCCGGCGTTGCCTGTGCTTGATTCAAAAATCGTACAACTCATACAGCAATTGCTATCACTTGACTTAAAATATTTTTGTCCTTCCTTGCCTTTAAAGGAGTTCCCTTTGCTGTGCTGATGTTGCTACATGCCTTACTTCTTGCCTATCTCACACTGCAAATTTTTTCTAAGCTCTATACTAAACATTAAATCTGTTACGAAAAAAAAAAAAAAGAACTAAACAAAATGAACACAAAATGATTAGCTTTAAAAAAAAGGACTCATAACTGGAAAAACTGAATGAAAAAGAATGTTAACAACAAATACTTTTTCACACCCAACCCAGTTCTCTGGAATCAGAATCAACGTTGAGTTTAAGCAAGCGAATGAGCCAATTGGAGTAAAGTGCCATGCAGATTTAAATTTTCCCACTTGTGATGAATGCAGCTATCGATTTTTTTTTGCATGCTAGCATGCTAGTTAACATTTGTGTCAGTCAGCTGTTGGCTCTCACGCTGGCCAATAGAATCTTCCTGCCTATTCATGGCAGCCAACTATAGGCTCTCATTCTGGCCAGTAGAAAATGGCTGCAAACTACGTGAAAACTGCCGTAGAAGCATGAAAAAATCGATTATTTCCATTATCGATGGGAGTTGGGAAATGCAAAGTTGGTCTTGGCCTTCCCGCTAAGTTGGAGCATGTGCATGTAAATTTTAGTGCAAATCTGTCGAAAATTGTGGCTGTGCATTCATTACACACACACACACACACACACACACACACACATCCTGCCTTTTATAGATAGAGATTTTTCTGAAATCCTTTTGCATATTGCAGCATCATGCCATGGTATACAAATATTGTATGAAAATTCATTTATAAAATCTATGTTAAATAAAAAAAATTCATGGTGTACAACTATTTCTTTCTCCCCACTGTGTATATAAATATCACAATCATGAGTCCTGTAACTCTTTTTAGTTGTAAGGGCACCACATGTAGAAGTGGTGTATCTTGGGCAAGATAGCCCAACCCTCTCTAGGCTGGTTTGAATTCAGAGTTTTACTTCTAGACTGGTTGCCACCCAGTCTGTCCTGCTATTTATTCATAACTGGGGAAAGAAAAGATGGATGGATGGATGTTGGATTTAACGGCATGTCAACTCCTATTTGGGTCATTTTATGCCGAAGCCTTATTAATTTATGAATTTAAGATGGTTATATTGTATAAAAGGTTGAAAGGCTGTTGGGTTTCATAATCTTCTGTATTTTTTGGGATTGCTTTTTCTTGTGATTGTTTCCGATTGTATATTTTCATATTTACATCCATACATGCATATATATGCAAGAAAAAATGGATTCATATCTTTCCCAAAAGTATTTGTGTAACAGTGAATATAACCATCTCGAATGAAATTTGAACTTAGCTTTCTGATTCTTTATTCCGAGCTGCAAACCATTACTCCAACATGCCTCCTCTGTATGTGTATCTCTCTCTCTCTATATATATATATATATATATATATATATATATATATAGGAGGCATAGTGGAGTAAGGGATAGCGGCTTGGAATGAGGAATTGGAGAGCCAAGTTCGAATTCCAGTCAAATCCATTCAATTCACTTATGTGCTGATACCCTTGGGAAAGCTATTAATCCCCTCCTTCTCCTTCCATCTATGAGTAAATAGCAGGACAAACTGGGTTCTATAGCCTTGGATGGCAACTAGTCTAGAAGGACAATTCTGAATTCAAAACCTGCAGAGGGTCATTTGGGGATCTTGTGGCACATAGTGCACCAGGTCTCTGTATTCAGCTCTTCAAAAAGTATGGTTGGTTCTGCACAAAGCCATTGCCATTATAATCAAATCATACGTGCTGGTGTCTGGGCTGTCAGTTCCTAGGACACTCATACGTTGAATACAACAACATAAATTAGCTTCTTTTACTGTTGCCATATCTCCATTCAAATACCTCTGTCATAACATAAACAATATCTTAATATCACTGCTTCAAAAAAAAGTTTAGGAAGGAAACCCCCATCAATAGTGGAAAGAGCAATAAAAGATAGTAGAGATGAAAAATGTATTTTCCTGAAAAATTGTTTTAAGAGAAAGATTTCATAAATTTTAACTGACACTATCACTGGCTGTTTGGTCAATGAATGCTGAATATTTCCATATAAGGAAACGGCTAATATTACCATGTAAGCCAATTAAAGAGTGTCTGGAAAGATTTTTAGAGTTCGCTAAGCATACAATAAAACATAAATTTGAAAACCTTTAGAAACTTTCAACTATTACCATAAATGCAATTTTCTAAGCTTGGTAGTCCTGGTTAGAAAAATTGATTCAAAACAAAGATGAAGATATATTTTCAAAAGTGAAGATCACATAAAGTTCTTCATGTGTCATATGTTGTGGGGAGGTGGTAAAGATGGCAGTATGTATGAGGAGAGATATAGAAACAAATACCAAAATGCATATTTTTTACAGGAAATAAACAGAATGAATTCAGAATCATATCAAAAAAGGAAAATACCGTGTGATTTGTTAGAAGTAATTGTATGAGTTTTTGCCAATTTTCCTTTTCGTAATTGACTCGATAGAATCCTCTCTGGTACGTATTTCCCAAGATCCAGTCATCATTTCCTTTTGTATGATTAACTAAAAATAGAAAAGAAATTTACAAAATGTTATATGAAAATATTGTTACATTTTAATTAAATCCTGGTAAATTTATATAAATTAGTTTTTTTAAAAGCTTATCATGTTTCTTCTACCTGTCATAAATAGTCGTCAAGTTGAAAAGCTCAGTGTGGGGAGGCTGTGTTTCTATATTCCTTGGGGAAGTTTTCAGGATTAACATATATGCATATATATTTGGGGGTGGATTAGAATCCTCAAGTTCATGATGCACTGGCTGACATCTATCATGAAAAATGGAGAAATAGGGGAGGACCAGTTCCATGGCCTGCATGTTCCCCCAATCTCAATCCTGTGGAGTTTTATCCATCTAAAACAATTGGTTTATGCAACAGACCATAACAATGCAGACACACTTCATCAACATGTCATGGCGGTCTGCAAAACCATTTGACACTCTGTGAGAGCATTTGAAAGGGTTTGCCTGTGTAGAAGCAAGTGGAGGACATTTTGAACATTTGTTATGAGTTGCTGTGTATAATGATGGCCTTTTGTCCATAAGTTTATATGGACATTTTACCTTGTTTTGGTGTAAGGAACCTCCCCCAAAATTTGTAAAAGTATTTTTGAAACAACCTATCTCTCTCTCTCTCTCACTATATATATATATATACACACACACACACACACACACACACACAATGTGCACTTCATCCTAAGCAAGGCAAGGATGTAACACTACTAAGATGCAAGAGTGTTACTGAGTGAGAGAATATGAGAAAAAGATAACATCATTAAGGAGAGAGAACAATAGAAGAAAAGGTATTAAAAAGACAGAAAATAATGATTGACATTTCATTTAAATTTTTGAAGGGAAAGAGTTTTTTCAGGATGGTTTTGAATTCAGAATTTTCCTTCTCCTAGACTGGCAAAGGCAAGTGAGCCCAGTCTACTCTGCTATTTAACCCATGGATGGAAAAAAGAGGAATTAATGCAAAGTAAACAAAACAGAATAATTCAAAATTTGAACATGGTTCCTCAATTCCATTTTCCACTCTATTTTGCTACATGTACATCTGTGCTGTAATATTGATTACAGTTGATTTTAGAATTGTTTTGCTAGCTGTTTCTAGCAACCCAGAAGCTACAGTAATATCTCAATGGTTAGAAGTGTGGGTTCTATACTTAGCTCTGTTTGACCAAGATGTCAGTTGATTAGGATCAACTTTAGATTTTGAGGAGTGAGACTGACACTTAGTCTCAACAATAGAGAAGAGTTCCACTAATAAGATATAGTGCAACTGTTTGTGTTCTCCTATTGAAATCTTTGACACTGTGAGGTGACACCATTTTATTCTTCAACCATGCCGTGGGAACAAGACATCTCTTTTCTACTCTGGGATACTCTTTAGTCCCTAACCAATTACATGTCTCATACAGCACGCTATCATTACACTGCCTCCTGTTAAAAAAAACAAAAAAATACAAATCTCATGTGACCACAATAATATCTCCACTACAACAAATCTCCATTCAATGCAAGAAAATATCCAAGTTCAGCAAATTGTTAGTTTGGTTTACCAGCATATCAACACTTATGTTTGTTATTTAATACCAGAATTATTTAGCATTAAAAAATCAAGTGTTCGAATATGATTCAAAAGAAGAGAAAAGAAGACTTTAGGAGTTAAGTCACATTTTGGGGAGAAAGTTTTATGTGTAGTGTAAGATTTATGATTTTGAGATCATATTTTTATATAAAATTTGGTTTCTTTCAGAAATTGGATTATTTTAGATGGATTGGCCTTATTGAAGAGTCCTCTTAAGTTGTTTACTTGATAACATTGTTTTCAGATTAGGTTTCACAATTCATTAGGATATGTTTCACTGTGTATTGTTTTTGATAAACAATACACATTGATGGTTCTTCATTTTTCAATTGGTGATTATGTGCAATTTGAGTATGATCAATGCAGAGACTGGTCAAAACAACTGCTTCTGTATCCTGGTTTCCACTCTCCTATGATGGTGTTGATGTTATACAGTTTGTGGTTTGAGTCGGAACTCCAACAGTCCTGCCATTTATTTGTAATGAATTCATTTATAGTAAGTTTGAAGCTAGTATAGGGATTTTTGTATTTGAGTGATTAATGTTTTGTGCTTTTTTTTACCTCTTAATCAGCTCTATCGTTACCCCATATAACAATGTGGCTTGGTATCCAACACTGTGTGATGCTTTGTTTTACCTTGAGAGGTATTCCATTGTATTTAGTAATTTAGTAGCTAGTGGGTCTGTTGTTTTGTTTTTTTTTTAGTTCTAGTAATGCTGATATGGTTTCTGTGAAAATGATGCATTTATTTTGCTTCTTGTTTGTCAAGTGCTAAGTCAATAACTGAGATTCGATACTGTATATCAAGGTTTTGTTTGTAAGCCATTTTACTTTGAGGAGGATGGAAGCACTTCCTACTTTATTTCCATTTTTTTAATCTGTCAAAATAATCACCAAGATCACTTTGTATATATATATATATATATATAAGTGACTTGGGTGATTATTTTTAATGGTGATTATTTCTTGGTATATTATTGTATTGGTTTTAGTTTTGAGGTATCTTGTTAGATCCAGTATTATTTTCAGCTATTTTATTAGCCATGATAGAATTTCAGATTTGATGGTTTTGTGTACTTCAGTTGTGTCTAGTTGTGTATTGGAGATGATTTCCTTTATGTGTAGGCCATAAAATTTGATTGCTTTTTCTTTTTGATCAAAGAGTGTTTTGCATTGTAGGTAGAAGATATGTTGAATATTATGGGCATTATGACAGTTTCATATAATATTGGAGTGCTAGTCTTTATTGTCTCAGTGGCGGCTCATGTGCCTCAGTATATAGACTTTTTACAGGGAGAGAAGTGTTGAAGACACCAAGGATGAGTCTAAATCATTGATAAAGTATCTGTTTCAAGTTATGATTTTCGTGCTGATCTATATTTAAAAAAAAGCCATTGTTCAGCTTTGATCTCACTATATAATTTATATAGTATTTTTTTATCAGATCTATATTTAGTGTTAGCTTCTAATCTGAATAGTCTTATGGCTTTGTTGCATTTGATATGGGATGTATTTTTTAGTCAAAGATTATGCCTAGAAATTTGTACTATTAATCTGGGCATTTCAGTATTCTCATGTTTTAATAATGGATCATTATTTATATATTTGTATTTAGCAGAAGTTTATGTATTTAGTTTTGGTTTTTGAAAGTTTGAATTCATTCTCTGTGGACAGTTTACTTATTTTATTAAGACATTGTTGTAGCTGACGTTCTACAAAACATGTGTATTTGGATCTATAGCAGATCAAGAAATCCTCTATAGAAAGTGAACAATATACTCTGGGGTTGATATTTTTAACAATATTGTTTATTCATATATTAAATAATGTCACTGAGAGTATACTTCCTTGTTCTTTTAGGCCTGAAAGTGTGGAGCTCATTTGTATCTTAAAAATTTGTTGATAAAGGTTGATATTTTGCCTTTCATACCCAGATCTTTCAGGTCTTTCATAATGCAATATTTCCATAGGCTTTCTCTAAATCAAAAATATATCCTGTTACTAGTTTTTGGGGGTGAAAGCTTCTTGCATGAAGGTTTCTAATTAAACCAGACTGCTTAAGGTGCTTTTGTTTCTAAAAAAAAAAATTACTGCTGGGAAAAGGTTCTTAATGAGAAACATCAAAATTAATTTTAGCTCCTCTGTTCTATTGTATTATGTTTCTGGCTATATTTGATGGTTTGGTTCAACAATGAGCCTGCTCTCAGTGATGTTGGATCTGCTTATGCTTGGGGTTGGTTTTGTTTATTTCTTTGACTGGAATTTTTTCAAGGAAGATTTATTGTCAATTCTTGCGGTGGACTTCTCTCTTGTTCTTTCTTTCTCGATGTCTTTATTTTGATTGGATTTTTGTCTCTGTTTTGGGTTGTGTTTCCAAATTATCAAATCTATTTCCTTGGTTTGTTCATTGGACTGTTGAAGTTTTTTTTCTGCTCAGGAGGATTTAGATTGGTAGGTAGTTTTTCTCCTTTCACTTTTTTTTTTGGGGGGGGGAGATATCTTCTTTTTTGTTCTTTCTCTATTACTTTGTGAGGCAGTGTTGTATTCTGTTCTGAAGCTGGCTAAGTCCCTGAAATTGATTCAGTGGTGGGTGTAAAACCATAAGTTAATGCTGGTCTTCATTCTTTTATAAATCTTGTCCAGTCATCCAGTCCAAGCTGAAATAACTCTTTTACAAACATTAGTATATGTGTCTTTCTGCATTTGTGCTTCAACTAATTTTGTTGCTTCTGGAAATGGGATGTTTTCGGTGTATTTTATTTTTAAAATTTCCTTTTCTTTTTGCTAGATTTGATATTCTTGTGCATATACTGGATGGTCTTTCCAAAATTTTCATATGAACTACATAGGATAGGAAGTTGTGGAGAGTTATGACTTCCTACGTCCTGGAAGGACATGGCACATAAATGAAGATGAATAAAGAAACAAAGAGCAAGAAGAAAAAAATTTATAATTATCATAAACAGGTAAATTGAAAAAAGAATTTAAAAAATATGTCTGACTTGTTATCATTTCTCATTCTTCAGAGCTCTCTTAAGAAAAGTATGCACAAAATTAAAATAGAGGGAAGAATCACAAAGACAAGATGAAAAGGCAAACAGGCAAACTGTATCTATAGATTCTTGACAAAAACCAAAGTAGAATCTGCAATGTTATAGGTCCTGACATGGCATTTTGTCTTCAGTCACTTTCCTATTGTCAAAATAGTAGTTTCCGTGTGTTTTTTCTATAAATATTTTCATAGTAATTGTGCTGATGAGCTTTCTTCTTTTGCACCCCTCTAATTCACAAATTTAAGATCGACTGAGAACTCAGTCACATCATTTTACTTTTGAAATAGCAAGATGTAGCCATAAGTTCTATTCTAATAATTTCTTTTCTTGCACTTCACATCCATGGAACCATCTTTCAGCTTCTTGCTTTCCTGTCAATTATGATCTTTCAAAATTTAAATGCAGCATCAATCATCATCTTTTGTCATTTTAAATTCTGTTCTCTTATTGTCATTTCTCCTCAATAATATTTTCTCAGTTTCTTTCATTCTCAGTAAACTCTTGCTTCTTTGTTTGGGGTGAAATGATAAAAAGAAATACATTCAAGCCCAAAGGCCACTCCTTCTGCTTACAGAGGGATGGCTGTAGGGACTTGATATATATTGCCTCTAGGATTTTCAAATGGAACTTTGAATGCAACTTACTTAAAACTGACAACTAATAACAACCTATTTTAATATAATTTTTTTTGATTTACAGTAATTATATATTTTTTCTTTTTCCTTAATTATATTTTTTAATATTCCCACTTTTACTGCAATAATAAAATTTTGTACCCACAGAAAAATACTGAAAATTATTAAGGAAATATCAATTAAAATAACTATAAAGAAATTACTGCTCAGTATATTCAGATTTTATAAATTAGCTTCACTTTAGTGTGAATAAAAATCATGAAAACTTTATGAAAGGAATAAAATCATTTAAATTACTTTAAGGAAGCAGTGTTGATAGAAAACTTCTATCAGTAGAAGCAAGTGTGATAACAATCAGTGAACTTAAGAAGTCTAATTTCTTGAAAAACTGTTTAAAAAAAAAAGATTTTATAAATCAAACTGACTGCAAAACTATCTGTTCAGTAAATGTATGCTGAATGTTTACTGTATAGAAATGGTTAATTTCATTGTTATTTGAAGGGTGAAATTTATGAAAATGAATGAAAACATTAGACAATGAGATAAAGAATAGATAATGAAATAAAAAAATGAAAGAAATGAAACAATCACATGTGAATTATATTTTAGTAACAAGTTGTGGAATTCACAATTGCCATAAGAAAAAATAGAAGATATAATATAAATCTGTATGTTTTAAAACAAAAAGTTTGAATATCTCAGTGATCTCAGTTCTTTCTCCTGTAACAAAATTATATAAACAGAATGCAAGTCAAAAGATATGAAGAAGCACTAGAGGGACGGGGTTTTGATGAAGCCTTTTTACCTGGAATGATTTTCTCAGTTACAAGCAACCATTCAATGTCCCGGGAAGTTTTCTCAAAGTTAAGATCTTTGCTTGTTGTGAACGTGAAAGGAACTTTCCAAATTCTAGTAAAAAAAAAAACAAAAACAAAAAAAAACAAAAAAAAACAAAAAAAAAAACAAAATGATGAACATGATTCTTTTCCATACATATCAATTATTTTTACATTTTTGATAATTCCAGAAAACATTTCAAAGTCATAAATTTCTGTTATAGGGAAGCCCTACAGATTAAATAATAAAAAAAAATCATATTAAGTTAGTGAAATCACTTGTGAATTTTTCTTTGGAAATAATATCAATCCCACTTATTTTAAAATCTTTTGACCATTATTTTGAACAAAGAAAAAGTAGTTAAAACAGAATGTTTTCAAAATCATAATGATACTATTGCACATGAAATTAATCTCAGCTGACTAGGTTCAAATCTTATGGAAGGCAGTTAACAATTATTTTGTTAGTAAGTTATGTGCTTTTAGGAATTTACTAAGTATTCAACATAAGGGAAGTGATATTAGCAGATAGGGAGAAATATTTTTGAAGTGGTTGCAGCACATTGTGGAATTACCCCACTTTGTCAGGGGACGTCTAATAACACCAGGTAGTGTTGTATATAAGAGTATAAAAGGAAAAGAGTACGCTCTCTCTCTCTTCTTTTGCTGTTCAACCACATGAAGCTGTAGATTGGTTGGATGGTTGATTTTGTTTAGTAGCATATCAAACTCAGTGGGTGAATACTGAAATCTAAATATTTTGAACACAATTTTATGGCTTCAACTAAATATATGTTGAACACAATTGTATGAATTCAACTACAGATAACATGTATTTTTGGTCATTTTGCTATAAGATGTATTGTTGTTAATTTTACTATAAATAGGTATTGTTGGTAATTCTTTTTATCTAAAAATGTATTGCTGATATTTTTATTCTTTCATAGTATTTTGTTTTTGTTTGGAGGTTCATTATTTTACCATAGCTGGGACCCTAACAGGTGCTACCACCCTGGGTCAAAGTGACCTTGAGAACAACAGTTAACAGGTGGTTCAACCTTCAACAATTAAGAGCTGGTTCAACATTCCTCAAAACCTTCAATCTCCCAATCAGAGGCGTTGCTGCCAGATGTAGTTTATCATCATATCCAGGACTGACGAAGCTGTAGGGCCAAGACATGCTTCTTTTCTCATATGTCACATCTTTTTTTTACTAATTGTTTACCCAATACAAGACTCAAGAGCCACTCAAGGTAGGGGGTTACTGAATGAGGTTGTTGCATGAACATAAGAGGAGAAGGTAAGAAGAAGTGCAAATTATGAGGATATGTAGGAAAGATAATTTGAAGAGGTTAAGATGGTAGTAATTGATGAAGCATCCACTGATCTACAAAGTAGAGGATCTTGGGATGAAGATGTCCATATGGAATTCCCTTCTTATTAATGGAATATGAAGGGAAGCAGGCATGATTTTTTCCAGTGTACATGATATGGTGGGTAGTAGCTGTGAAGGTCTAAACTAGTGGAACTAAACAATGCAGCACATCAGAATATTTGTTGCCTGCCTCAATACTATCACTCAATACTATGCCTCCAGTTTGAAAAAGTGCCATGTGACCAATATCTCCACAACAACTTATCATATAAATATCTATCTCCCTCCAACATGGGAAAATATCCCTCTTCAGCAAATGAATCATCCCCATGAGAAACTCTTAACAGGATACAGGATACAACAATTTACAATATCAGAAACATTGTAGTGATCACAATAAATGCAAACAAAATATTTATAATCTATAATGTTTACTCACTGCCATTGTGTAGTCCCAATGAAAAGTAAGTAAAAAAAGAAAGACTAGTCACATACTTCAAGTAAATTTGTGATAATTTTAATTAAATTCAAAGCTTTGTTATTTTTGTATTTTTTTAAAATCAAATTCATCTTATACAAGGCAATAAAGCTACTAAAACACAAGGGGTTACTAAGTATAAAAAAAACTAGAAAACATTATTAAGGAGTGAGAAGAGTAACATTATTAAGGAGTGAGAAGAGTAATCAAGATGATAGTAGATAACAATTGACATTGCATTTAAACTTTGAAAATCAAAGTTGGCTGGAAAGCACAGAGCCGGAAGAGATTTCTATAAGTGAGAAATTTGAGAAAAGAAGCTGTTAGCATAAAACTTAAAGTTACACCTAACTAATTCAATTGTAAATTGATGAGATCTTGTTGCAATGTTCCTAGTACTGTGCTTAAATGCATAAAGTTTAGGTACCATAGTGAAGAGTTCATCCAAACAATTACCATAAAAGTATTTATGGAGGAGGCAAAGGGAAACAACTTTATAGCAGTGGGAAAGTAAATGAAGATAAGACACCAGGTCAGGACCAATAATATTGCTGATTCTTGGATTTTATCAAGAATCTCTAAATATATAGTATTAATGACAGTAGAATGATGTTCTGAGTAATTGTAATGTAAAGCAAGTAAAATTAAGATGAATCAAAAATTAATAATGGCTGACATTGCTTCAGATAATAAAGATAAAATAAAGGCAATATTTCTTTTACTAATAATATTAATGCATATAAAACAATAACTAATATGGCAACAAGTGAACAGGAAAAAATAGAGGATAAATTTAAGGGATAGATTTGATTGTCAACTCTAAAGCTCTGGTAGCTTAAACGGTAAATTAACTGTCATATATAGAAAAGCATAAAGTGGATGTGAATTTATGGATGGTCTGAGTTGGAAAAGAAACTAAAATGAAAATGAAAGAAATACTAGTGAAAAATAAGTAATGGCTGATGATGCTTCATCTAAATAAATTCAAGACAAAACAAAATAGTTTTTTGAAATTAACAACTTACACATGTTTAAGGTTTTTGCAATTGTGTGTGTTTTTCTCAAACAGGAATCTTTTCTGGCTTATCACAATATTTGAGCCCTGCCATTTTACAAAAATAACTGGGTAGTTCATTTCCATAATCCATTCTTTCATGATATTACCAACATCCAGATTGGTTTCATTTTGTGCAATGGCTTCCTGTAAAACAAAATATAAACAACAAAATATTTAGCAATATACTGATCACTGAGTTGATTATAATAAATAGAAACACACAAAAACTGAAAATTAATATTGTAATTTTAATGGTTAATATAATACTAACTATAGTATATAGCAATAAGGAGGTACTGATCAAAAAAATCATAAGTTTGAGGTTGTAATTCCAAAGATCATAAATCAGTCTTGCAAGTTCAACATCAGAAAATGTCAGGACCATAGATCAAAAAGGTAAAAAATACACATCACAACTCGCAATGCACAACTACTTTCTTGATCCACAAAGTGTCAAGTAATCTCCTGTGGCTCAAAGTAGATTTCTTTTATTAGGGTAATAAAGATTGTGATTAGTCAAGACTGGTAGGGAAACGCAAACAATTACCATATTCTGAGGCCTACTAAAGGTTGTGATTAGTCAAGACTGGTAGGGAAACACAAACAATTACCATATTCCGAGGCCTATTAAAGGTTGTGATTAGTCAAGACTGGTAGGGAAATGCAAACAATTACCATATTCCGAGGCCTACTAAAGTCAACTCAATCATGATTCTGATTTTCTTTTTTAACAGCACAAAGAACATAAATTCTTTTTCAAGATAACATTTGGCTTTCTCCTTCTTTTGTTTTCCATAATATTTATATATGAGAACATTTTTAAGTAATAAAATACAAGGGTGGGCTGAAAAGTTCAAAGGCTGACTATGAAGGAGTGATGCTAGAGCTGTAGAACCTTGCATGCATTAATTTCAACTGTTCTTATTAACAAATGCATTGTTTCAGTACTAGTTACTTCGAGTTTTCTTTGAACAATCAAATGTCAGTTTAACTGGAAGGAAACAATGCAGTTAATAAGAGTTGAAATTAATGCATACAAGATTCGACAACTCTAGCATCACCTGTTCATAGTTAATCTATGGACTTTTCAGCCCACTCTTGTAAATAGAATGTGGAATGAATCAGAGTAACAGATCATTTTTGTTCCTCAGACAAACTGTTATAAAGTGAATCATTTAAAAATATTATGCAAGAATATATAGTTGATAATTTGTCTTTATCTTTTTCATTGTTGCTTATGAAAAAAACATTTTGGTATATTACTAAATGTATTTTAGCCCTATAAATGCCTCTGTGGAGTATAGAGCCACAGCCTGACCACACCTTGTGCTGCTATGGTTTCTGTAGTAAGTAGGTTTTTATGGGTTGGAGTTGTCAGCACCACACCCAACTGGTTTTGAATTTAAAACTGTGCTTCTCCTAGACTGGTTGCCAAACAAAGCTAGAGAAGCCCAGTCTGCCCTATTAACCTCTTCTTGTGGGTAGAGAAAATGGATTCATACTGTTTCCAAGGGGATTTGTACTAAAGTGAATGTAATGGCCTTGGATAGAATTTGAACTCAGCATGCCAATTCCACACTTCACACTAATAATAACTATATTGTATGCACATCCAACAGAAGTAGATGCTGTTACAATCTAGTGCAAGTCTCAACTAATCTTCGTAAAGACCTCTATGAGGGGGAATGTTTTCAAAATTATAAGATTATAAGCAAAAAAATAAAAGTAAGCAAAGATGATATTCATGACGGACAAACAAAGATTCAGGAAAAAATTTAAAGAGTTTTACCTCAGTGAAAGCTGCCCACAGATCTTTGTTAGCTGCATTGCCATATACATGTTTTCTAATGTAACGCTAAAAAAGACATAAAAAGAGACATAAAAATCATGAAATAGATAACATTTTACTTTTTTTTTAATAATGAATCTCATTTAATATAAGGCTTGAGAACCACTTGAGATAATGAAAATCATGAGGATAAAGCTTTACTCTTGTCTTGAAGAGTTTAGATATTAACCTGTTTTTGGAAAAATACTTTTTCACATTTTAATGCTTTTCCATATTCCTATTTAACAGGAATCAAAGCATCCTATTTACAATCATGAGATTTTGGATTATTATTATTATTATTATTATGGCAGCTAAAATTCTATGTTAAAACTATGGAAATATTGCTTAGAATAAATCTTCAAATTCTGAAAAATCTTTATTTTTATTTTCTCTCAGAGAAGTTTACAATAATCACACTTATCATTAACCACAATTTAGTATTTTTTTAACAAAAATGAGACAAAAACAACTTATGCTTGCCTGCAATCCTTTTTTAAAAAGGCTGTCACCAAGGAAAAATTCCATCATTCGGATAACTGATGCTCCCTAAATGCAAATGAAAAGAAATCAATGAAATAATTAAAATTTTCTCTTATGCTAAAAACAAAAATAGATCTAAATATCATGGCAAAAATAAATAAAAACAAAGTTAATTGGAATCCACTTTTTGTTAAATGTTTAAAAACATAGGATTAACTCAAATTTTCTTTAATAAACAGTAAAATACAATTATTTATCTTGAAGAGAACTGATTTGTTCTTCAATAAAATTTTAAGTTGAATAACTTCATAAGAATCTACTTGGATTCATTCAAGTCTCAAATAAATTGTGAAACAAAGGAAACATTTTAATAATGTTAATATTTACATAACTTCCTAGTCATTCACACAAAGACTTTCATATTGTATGGAAACAGAAGGTAATTATCTCTCTTTTGACAGTAAGAATTTACTTATGTCCCAAGGGGCACTTGAAGGCTATGTGATAGCCCATTGGGGACAGTTGCTACATACCTGTGCATGGGTGAGTATGTAAATCTTATATATTCTAAAGTGCAAGTGATACACAGATGTATTGTGTCCCTCTTGGGGATGTTACAACATACTGCTCACCATTTTATATGTGCTTAAATTTCGCTACATGGGACAATTTGTTATTTATATGTATATGTCCCACACATTTAGTGACATATATATATATATATATATATATATATATATATATATATATATATATATATATTATATACTCATGTTTTGAATGTAAAATGTTTTCATGTTTAACTCATTTTTGGAGTTCATCTCTCTGAATCCTTCTAGCCCTTCCTGTATTGGATTTTGAAGAATAGAGAAGATCATGTTATTTCCTCTATCTTTCTGAGTACTTGATTAATATCTAATTATTTAATGAAAAGCAACTGATAAAAATTAAACTAATTGACAAAGATTTATATAATATAGCTTTAGAGAAGACAATGAAAAATTACTCTGGTATTTTTCTGAAAAAAATAATGAAAAATAATCAGTGTACAATTCCCCCATTTGTTTGCCAAAGAATTTCTATTAATGACTATTAGACGGTGTTGCCAAAGCGATAGATAAAGGAAAGGGTGCAAAAATCTCATTTTCTTCTCTTGACTCACAGGATACTTTTGAGATGGGGGACCTTTTGGTGAATTCATGTCACACTGAACACAACACACAATGCTCTAAGTTAATCTGATTATATACAGGCATATTTAATAATCCTATCAAATTCAAGGATAAAGAACCCTTCTCAAAGTCTCACCCAATATTTCATAGAAGTCTCACACCTCCATATATAAGGACATCTTTACATACACAACCTTTATTCACTTTTTTGTATTTTTTCCATTTAGTTTGCTCAGGTAATAAAATGAATTGTTTTCAATTGTACATTACTTGTATATTCATTCTTAATTTCTTGTTTGAAAAGAGACACATGAGAAAAGTGGGCTTAGAAAATTTGACACTCATAGGACATATTGAAGATAAAAAGGACAGAGGAAAGTAGCAAACCACTTAGCTGATGAGCTTGTGTGATTGCAGAAGGAAGAGAATAGAGAAAATAACACTGTTAAGTGCTGTGAAGGATAGAAAGTTGTGAAGAGCCATGACTGTCCATGTCCTGAAGTAACATGGTACATAGAAGAAAACCTGATTAAATTTTTGTAAAAACCTTTCAGTATTGAGTGAGAGGACAATTTTAAAATCCAGTAAGTGATTACCTTTTGGTAACTGATGTCATCTAATGCAATACTGTGTCCACTTGGAACATCAAGAGGGTGGGAACTCAGAGATCCATCTGCCTTCAGTGCTCTTTGAACAACGTCAACAACAAAATAATCAAACTAAAAACATAAAAACAGGAGGAAATGGTGTTAACTAATGGCAAAAACACAAAGAAATATGGAAAAAGTATTTTTAAAAATGATGAAAGGATAAAAAATGTAAAATTAATAAAAAAAAAGCATGAACAAATTGTAAATAAAATTATTTCACTTTAAATTATCAATTTTATGTTTCATGAGAAAAATAGAAAAACTACTTGCTTATTGTAATAAGGAACATAACTAAAGGAGTACCTTGATGAAGGTTTTAATAAACAGAGTGGCCCATAAAGGGGCTAAGAGCAAATAAGAATACAAAGAATAAGAGTAAAAGAGGATATATATATATATATATATATCTCTCTCTCTCTATATATATATATATATATATATATAGAGAGAGAGAGAGAGAGTACAGCAAAAGGTGGATAATTCTGGAAGAGTCCAAATTATGGGAAGTTAATGCTTATGACACTTATTTAACCTGTGATATCATAGTCATGATTTCAAGTCAAGTCAAAGACAAGATCCAAAGCTTTGATAATACTGTTGCGGGTTTCCCAGAGACTGGGGTAGGAAACAGTCGGTTATCTCTCACTTCTTCTTTCCAAGCATCCCTGTCAAGTGGGCAAGGCCTCACTCTCACACATCCTTTCCAATACAGTCCTTCGACATCTTTCTAGGTCTATCTCAACCTCTGTGACTTGGAATTCTGAACTCCAAGACAGTTCTGATGCATGATGCTCATTTAACCTGACCAAACCACCCAAGACAATGGATATGCATCACTGATTTTATATCTTTAAAACCAAGCCTTGTTAACAACTCGAATGAAGAGGCTTCATACTGAAGCTTGGTGCCACAGATCCAGCGAATCATTGAGCAATCATTGTGACAGAGCCACCACAAGACCAACGCACTTGGTGTCCAAGTCTCAATGCCATGGAGTAGTGCAGATTGTACACATGCAGAGATCAAATCATATTTCATTAAACTTTAATAATTTAAACATTTAAAATTGAACATATAGGAACATATTAAAATTTAGGAAAAATGGATTGTCAGTGGTCTGAAATTAATACAGGCATCACTTAAATGGAGTAAAATGATAAAAAAAAAAAATTATAGAATAATAAGAGAAAAAAAAAATTTGTACTTACAATTTTCCATTCAGGTCGAAAATAATTCATACCAATATATTCAACAAAAGTTGCAAAACCTTCATTTAACCAAATATCATTCCACCAACACATGGTCACTAAATTGCCAAACCACTGTAAATATTAAAATAATTTTTGGGAGATTTATAAGATTTGCAGGTCATTTTTCATGAAGAATTACATATAGACTAAGAATTCAATTTTACATAATAATTCTATTTAACAAAAAAACATTTAATTTTTACATTTCCATTTTAATTTGATTACAAACAAATTTTTGGAGTTTATTTTTTTTTTTATCTTTACATTGTGTTACCAACTTTATTACCCACCAATTGTAGTTTTCATGATGTTAACAAAATTTTTCAGCATTTAAACATTACAATATTTTCTATTTTCAAACTTGGTAATATCTATAGTTTGATATAGGTACCTCCACTTGTTGCTGAAAAAACAGCATAATAAAAAAAGGTTCCAAACTTAATAAAAACAAAGTTTTATTGTCAAAATGTTTTTACTTAATTTCATGAGATTTCAAGAAATTAAATTTTAATCTCAAAATTTGTTTTATTAGTTAAAAGCTGGACTCCTTGGAAAATGTAAATTATCAATTTTTTTTTCAAACTACTGCTCATTTCCCGAAAATCTGCTCCAAATCATAAAATAAAAATTGCAATAAAACTATGATATTATTTAATTAGAAAAGCTTTTAATTGCTTTTATAAATAAGATTTAGTAATGACACTATTGTGTTAAGAAAAAAAATACTTTCAATGGATAATGAATATTTACAAGAATCGTTATTTTTTTTTTTAAATTTTAATTATAATAATTTATAATATATAAATTGTTTAAAATTCTGCATTATTTCAATCTGGTTAGGTGATATTGTTATTAAGTGAAAACTATATATACTAATCAAAAATCGAAAAGTTTAATACCAGATTTTTTTGCTTCAAGATTTTTAAAATAATTTTTAATTTTTTACGTATATAAAATATTACATAATATGCCCCAGTTTGAAAGTTTTGTTGACCATACATGACATAATCAGAAAATAAGAGTGATGACTATATTAAATTTAAATTCAACATTCCTAAAATTAGATTATGGAGAATATTTTCCAACATTTTTAAGATTTAAAAATTATATAAAAAAGGCACTCACCCGTCATTTTCTTAAATTATGTTTTAACAAATAAAGTCTCCCTAGAACAACAAATAAATCTGTCAACACCTTATCAAAGCCTGTTAAGTGACCTACAAGTGACAAGTGATGCGAACAAGCATGAAATCACTGCTACTGTTTGTTTTAAAAATCCATTTCTCTGTTATTTTAAACTTAAGTAAATAATATTTTTTTCAAATCAGATTAATTATACTTTAAATCAGCTAATAATGCTTCTTTTACATGAAGCATTATTACTTTTTTTACATATCTTTATTTTTTTTTGATAAAATCTAAATCAAAGAATATCAAATACTAAATTCTATCTTCTCAACCATAAAACCATATTCTGGAGACAAAAGAATTTTTTAACAATATCTTTTATTATTCTGGCAGATGCCTTGTAAAACAATGTTGCAACAACACCAGGTTTCAGAATCCAGTGAATTTTCATAGAACCAGCTTGCTAGTCTAATGTGAAAGATGAACTGCCTTACAGAACTAAAAAGCTCTAACTTCTCTATTATTTAACAAAGGGATGAAATGGATTCATGCCTTTCCCAAGGGCATTAGTATGTAATGAATATAAACTGTTCCAGTTGGAATTTTAATTCAGCATGATGTTCAGCTAATTTAATGATATCAAAACTATCAGCTAATATATGATCATTGGTAAAAAATGGCTTCGAACAAATAAATCCTATAGATTTTAAAGAAGACAAATGTATGCTACAAAAAGCATATATAACGTCGATTGAGTGACTGATTTGTTTTTATGGCTTCTCAACCTTTTAAAGCTTATTTAAAGCCTGAAAATATTTAGATGGTAAGATTTTTTGAGGGAGATAATAATCATTTACTGATACAAGCCCTACTAATTAACCCATAGCTGGGGGGAGAAGAGGTGGATTCATGCCTTTCTCAAGCGTATTTGTACATAAATGAATATAAGAAACCCGACTGGAATTGGAATTCTGCTCTCCAATTTCTGTATGGAAACAGTTAATGACCATTAACCATTTTGCCATTCACATCTAGCATTCTTTTATTATGCAGCATAAATTCCATAGTAATTTTAAAAGTCTGAACCTAGAAATAATGTCTTATTACTGGTATGCCACAAATGCAAAGAGGTCCGTTAGGGCTTTGCACAAGTCAGGTTCATTGGTGAAGGATTTCCCACGAAGACGATTATCCAGGGAGTGGTAATCAGATGGCGCAAGGTCAGGTGAATAAGGTGGATGGCACAAAGTTTCCCTCCCAAGTATGGTATCCTTGACCACTCGTGCATGTGGCCTGGCATTGTCATGGAAGAAAAACACACCTTTGCAATTCACCAGTGCTGGCTCCTTCTGGCACAATGCCTTTTGCACACATTTCAATTGCTGCGAGTATAGGTCTCCAGTGACCATTTGGCCTGTTGGTAGCAGTTCATAATGAACCACTTGACAACCTGTTCACCAGCATAATCTTGCGTGGGTACATAGGCGCTCTTGCGGTGTGAGGGACAGCATCCTGAGGAGACAACCAATGTCTGAAACGCTTGGGAGTTTCGTACAGAACCCACTTTTCATCATAGGGAAGCACTCGATTGAATAAGGATGCGGTACGGTGGCGAGAAAGCAGCGATACGCAGGCTGTCACTCGTTGTCCCTTGTGGACCTCCAACAGTGTTTGTGGAACCCACTTGCTCAGTTTGTACGTCTTACCTAGGCGGTGCAGGTGAAGTCTAACTGTTTCATCGGAAACATTGACCTGTCTTGCAAGCTCACCACATATTAGACTAATGTCCTCCTCAATGGTCGCCTTCAGGACTCTGTCATTCAAGACTTGTGGTCATCCACTGCGAGGCTCATCATGGAGAGACAAATCTACCGACTTGAATTTTCGAAACCAACACCTTGCAGTACATTCCCCAAATGCTTGACATATGCGGCAACTTGATGCAGCTGCTGATAAGCCCACTTTGAAATCGTAAAGCAAACAGCCCCGAACGAGATCTCTAGACACTTCCATCCTTCTCACAGCTGTCTGGCTTATAACTGATGGCCGGGCACGGTGCGCGTGTTTTTTATAATGTCTGATGTTCCTACTTCCGGCTGTTTGAATTTGAAAACAATTGCTACACTCATTTCATATATATTTCAACTTCATTCAATGACTAATCAAAAAACGGACAGAACTTTTTTGGTTACCTTGTAATTTCTAATCATTACAAACAATTTGTGATCAAAAGAAAGGGTAGAGAAGAATATTTCCAAACCAATCAGGTAAATAATGTCACTTAAAGGATGTTTAACTTATTTGAAAAAAGTAAACTTTATAAAAACCTTTTGCTTGGTGCAATGTCAATCAAATTAATCAAGATGTTGTGGATCTAGTTTTAGTTGTTTAACTTCATAACTTTACCAATGTTTTTAAGAAAAAAGAACTGTTTTTACCAATTGATAGGTTACAAAAAAAATGGGGTTAAAATGTTTACCTGATGAGCTAATTCATGTGCCACAACCAAGACAACATATTGCTCTTGTTTGATGGAAGGGTAGTTGCTATCATAGAGTAGAGCAACTTCACGATATGTTATAAGACCCCAGTTTTCCATAGCTCCATAAGCAAAGTCCGGAATGGCAATGAGATCTTTCAAATAAATGAGAAGTAATTAAATAATAGAATTTTGAAGACAATTTATAAAAAAAATGTCATAATTATTCATATACTAGAAAAAAAAGGCAACAAATTTAATAAACATAAAATGTTTAATCTTTTTTATAAGGCATGTTTACAAAAACAGTTGCTATCAAAATATACTGAATATCAATTATACATTAAATAGCAATGTGAACATTTACAACAGCAATAATGAAGGTTACAGGCATGCCTATTAATGTCACTGGTATGATGAAGTTGGCCAGTAGTTGTTATTTACACTGTTTAAAAAGAAACAGGGATGTTTTATTGCTTATAGATATACACACACACACATATATGTATATATGTATAATTATTTCTTTCAAACGTGTGGTTGAATAATATCAACAAGTTGTGTCTATCCAATTTTTTATTTACTTTTACAAATTTACAAATTAGTTGTTTTATATAATCAATATATTTACCAAAGTTCATATTCACTTTTATTTTATTTTGAGTAATTTCAAATGTTGCTACATTTGTTTTCAAGAATTTCTTTTTTGTGCATTTATGCAACTGTTTTTGGATAATTCTGTAACATAAACACACAAAAAAGAAAATCTTTGAAAAAATATGTAACAAGATTTGAAAGTACTTAGAATTAAATGAAATAAAAATGAATATAAACCTTGGTAAATTTACCAATTATGTAAAACAACTAATTTGGAAATTTGACATTAATAAAATTTGAATAGACATAACTTGTCAATATTATTCAATCAAACATTTTTGAAAGAACTCTTACTGTCTAAATACACCTATATATATATATGTGTGTGTGTGTATATATATATATATATATATATATATATATATATATAGGAGGCATGGAGGAGTAATAGATAGTGGTTCAGATTGAGGAATTGTAGAGCCAAGTTCAAACCATTACATTCACTTACATGCTAATACCCTTGGGAAAGGTATGAATCATCTCCTTCTCCCCCAGCTATGGGTAAATAGGAGGACAGACTGGGTTCCTATCCTTGGATGGTAACTGGTCTAGGAGAAGGATAACTCTGAATTCAAAACCTGTGTAGTGTCATTTGGGGACCTTGTGGAACATGGTGAACCAGGTCTCTGTATTCAGCTCTTAAAAAAAGTGTGGTTGGTTCTGCACAAAGCCATCACCACTATAATCAAATCATATGTGCAAGTGTCTGGCTTTCAGTTCTGAGAAACTGAGTTCCTTGACACTCATACATTGAAAATGATGGAAGAGTTCATGTGTGTGTGTGAATATATATATATATATATATATATGGGAATCTATAATATTACAATCTAGAGTGCTGGTGTTAATAAAATAGTGCTCAATGTAATATAACAGAGCTATAAGTTATATATTATTAAATATACATTTTTTTTTCCTCACCAGTGAAACTTAGAGTTTTATGTGCAATGCATCTTCAGGAGGTGAATTGAAACTCAATTCAGCATTATGTTGTGCATGAAACTCTGAGTCATGCAATCAGGGAGTTAAAAAATGTATATATATATATATATATATATATATATAAGAGTATTCAACTCCCTCCATAAATACACTTTTTTAAAAAATTAGCTATATTTCTAATTGTCAAAACTGTTTTTTTTTTTTCTACAGTCTTTTTAATTTCAAAGAAAATGAAATCTGTCTTACATCTACAATATAATATAAAGAGCAGTAATAAAGACAAAATATCCTTTACCTTCTTTTGGTAATGGGTAGGGATAATCAAAAACCTCTGCATAATGCTCCAAAATGATAACAGAACTGTTAAGAGCCAGTTTATTATGTGAGACAGAAGAATTTTTGGTCCAGATACCAACCTAAGAGAGAAAAAAAATATCAATTTTAGGGAAATTTAGAAAAATGGCAAATGTTTTTTAGATAAAATTAGCATTAGGTTTAGTTCATGACCATCAATGAATACACTTAATTTTTCTAGTATAGTAAATTAAGCTCCTCCTGGGATAAATTTTAATTAGCTTTTGGCAATAATATCTGTAACAGGATTCTCCTATAACCGTAATTAATAACAAGTGAATAAAATGCTGTAGTTTTTATATCACTATCAATTGTTAGGTCATACAGTTTCCACAATGCAACAAAAATTAAAATTCTTAACTCTTAGTTTATTAGACAACACTTACTTTTCAATACATTTATCCAACTGAAGAAACACTGAAAACATTTCAACAATAATAATTCATATGTGCTGTAGAAACACTATTTTCATGATAATAACAATAGTATTATTTCAATAATAATTATTCATATGTGCTGTAGAAACACTGATATTTCAATAACAGTTTTTTTTTTTTTAAGCATTTCACCCCAAGTAAGGCAGGAGTGCTAGTAGCATGCAAAGGGTTACAGAGAGTGCGAGAAGGAGTAATGAGATGTGATTGAGGAAAGGATAAAGAGCAGGATGGGGAATTAGATCAAGGCATCAGATGTCAATTGACATTGCATTTGAATATTTGAAAACTATAACTGTCAGGGAAGCATGTAAGAGGAAGGGAGTTTTACAGATGGGAAGTACAAGGCATGAAGCTATTGAATTAGAAGAGACAGCTACATTTAACTGTTTTGACAGTGAAAAGGTGGGACTGAGATGCCAACCAAGTAACACACTTAAATTCATGCATTTTGCGAAAATAGCTTGTCAGAGCAGTTACTGTGAAAGTACTTGTAGAAAAAACAAAGGGAAGCAATGACACATCTGTGAGAAAGTAACTGCAGATGAGATGCCAGACCAGAATCAACCACATTGCATATCCATCTCTGGATTTTGTTGAGGACCTTGAGACAAACAGCAGGGGCTCCAGACCATATATGGCAGCAGTATTCTATGCAAGAGCAGATGGTTGATTTATTGATTTGAAGGATGGACTCAGGCGAGAAAAACTTTCTGGTGTGACACAGAGAACCAACATTCCTTGCGGTAGATGAAGCTATTGATTCAATGCATTTGTTCCATCTTAGGTCAACAGACAGTATGAGACCAAGCAGGTGCAAAGATATGCTCTCTTGAAGTTGGTCACCAGACATTCTAATGGGAGGCAGGGAGGGTTCTCTGGTAGATAAATGAAAGCAGTTTTGTTTTTGAGGCATTAAAGTTTACCAGCCATTTCTTGTCCCAGTCAACCACAAATTGGAGATCCTTTTCGAGACCAGTAACCAGGTTAGTTCTGTTAGAGTTCTTAAAGACAGGGACAACAGATGAGGACATCCAACACGCTGGAAAGTAAGAGTTGTTGAGGCAGTAGTTATATAGTTTGGAGAGGACAGGAGCCAGTTCAGAAGCACATTTCTTCAGAACAACGGCTGGTATCCTGTCCCCACCACTAGCCTTATGGGAGATTTTAGAGATGATGCCCAATACCATCGATGTAGTTATGTGCATGTAACTTAATAGAGCCTCAGTTCTAGGGGAAAAATTGGATGTGAGTACACCGGATGAGTCGAACGTTGAATTGGATGAGAATTTCCAAGCAAAGCATTCAGCCTTATCAGCTGATGAAGTCAGGATTGAATAAAGGAGGTATTGCGGATTTGCTGTTATTCAGTACGCTCTTGCAGAGACGCCAATAATCTTTAGAAACAAACTTATGTTGTTTCATTCTTTCAGCAAATAGTGACTTTGCTTCATTGAGGACATACTTGCACTCATTACGGTCAGAGACAAAGAGATGTCTGTTGCAATCAGACACGTCACTTCAGTACAGATGGAAGAAGTGATTCCTATGGGCAAAGCAGCTGAGCAAGTGGCTGTGAACCAAGGAGATGAGCATGATTTAACTTTATATTTTCTTGCAGAGATGAAAGCCTTGATTCCAGCTTTTACCCAGGAGTCGTCCTTGGAAGTGCATTTTTGAACGGGGATTAAAGACCACATACCAGGGGATATCTTTATGGAAATCACAGAACAAGTCCCAGTCAGCTCATTGATAGCAGAAGGAAGTTCTGTTGGTAGGGGTTTCTTTGCTGAGGGAGGAGTAGAAGGAAATGTTAACAGACACTACAGCATGATCAGTTGCCAAGAGAGCAGAGCTGCATGGCACGACAAGACTCGAGGATGGAGATAAAACAGAGATTGAGAAGAGAAGTCTTACACTCTTGGTTATTGGGGAAATGTGTCAGAAAGTCAACCACTTGTGTAAGGGATTGAGTAATTGAAAAGTTAAGGGTTTGTATGCCAGCAAAGTCAGTTATAGAGTTTTTAAGCCATTTGGTATGGTAGGCGTTAAAGTCACTGAACACAAAAATATGTGCAAATAGATGTAGGGAGATAGTATTTCCAATAATATAGACAAGGCTATCAACTATGCTATTTCAATAATAATAATTCAGATATGCTAAACAAACACTGATATTCCAATAATAATAATTCATATAGGCTGAAGAAACACTAATATTTCGATAATAATAATAGTATTATTTCAATAATAATATCATTCACACTGGTAATATTTCAATTTGTGCTAAAAAAAATTACACATATAATGAACCATTTTTTTGCGTTTTCCATAAAACCTTTAAGGGACAGAAGCAACAATATTAAAAATTCCTTAGAATTTAAGGAATTTACTCACATTGTAGCCAGGATTCTCTAAGAGATGCTTGGAAAAGAAAAGTGTATCCTTTTATTATGTGCAAATAGAATAGTTGGTTATCTCCTAATTCATATTTGTTAATCAATAATGAGATCATCAATATTATAGGTTATCAGAAACTCACAATCATAGATCACTAACTCCTCATATTTTATAACTGGTAAAAATCAAAGAAAGTTATTAAAATATTTAATAAAAAGGATATTGAGCCAACAAGCCCATCCTTTTATTACCACTTATGATACTGCAGAACAAGCTTAAGAATACATTTTTATGTGACTTTCAGCAAAGGAAAATAAAAAATCCATCAATGAAAACTTACTTCAGTATTAAATTTGGTTATTTTTGTTTCCCGTACAAAATCACAAACAATAAAAGCAAGAAGATATGTGGACATGATTGGAGTTGTTTCGTAGAAATCAGCGATATAATCATCTGACCTGAAAACATAAAATGCTTGTATTTTTAGAAGAGAAATCATCTAGATTGAATTAGATTCTTAAATCCAGGAAAATTATCTTTGTTACACATTTATGAACTTGTTATTAAAAAAAAAAAAAAAAAAAAAAAACAGAGAGAGAAATGATTGGAAATATTCAATGTATTTTTTTGAAGACAGATCAAAAATATTTCTTTGTATCGTTAGTGTATATATCAATAACATATTAAAAACAATATAAGGTCTGTCTAAAAGGGATCCAGTCAATTATTAACAAAAAAGTAGTTGACTTAGAGTAATAGTGTCCTTGTCTACTTCAAAGTATTTTCTTTTCAATCTCACATATTTATGACAGAATCCCTTTTATTTTTTCAAAAAACTCTTTCAAAAGTACAGACAACAACCTTATAACATTCTCCTTAATCTCATCTATGGCCTGAAATTTCCTTTTCAACAATAATTTTTATCAACTCCACCTGATTGTTTGCCAAGTTATTGCAAGGGTGCACAACTGATCCTTAAGATATTAATTAAAAACTTACTGGATACTTTCTGGGCAGATTTCGGGTATCAAATTTTAAAATTTGATATGAATTTAATATGAGTTATATGGCTATAAAAGTTTATAATTTATGTTGGATTTTGAGATGAGGAATTATTATTATCATTATTATTATTATTCCACACCTTACTGTCTAAATCAGCATACTCATCTTGGTTGTTATACTCATGTTTCAGATGTTGTACTCTCAACATTCTCTATACTTGGTAACCTCCTTCAAATGTCAAACCAAACTCTTTATTCAATCCATGGAGGTAGATTGTTCTCATTCTACTTTCACTACTTAGGGGAGATAACCCGTATCAATTAATACTCACCAGACTTATTCACTTTTGTGGCACTTGTCTGTTTCTTCTACTGAAGCAGAATATGTGACTTTTCAAGACTACTAGACCCAGGGATTGAACTCACAACAGCCAGGAAACCAGATCATTTTAACTAATGCTTTACTACATCAGTCCATGTGACTTTTGGAAAATCTAGTGGTGATTAAGAAAGGACACCACCTAATTCAGGACACTCATACAGTTCCACCAGTCAAGTACAGGCATTAGGTTGAAGGTTGCAGTATCATATTACTTACTAGATGATCCTAGTGGATTAAAGCATTGGTTAAAGCATATCTGGTTTCCTGGCAGTGAAAAAAACAGACAACACAAAAGTGAATAAAACTGGTGAGTATTAACTGATATGTGTCATCACCCCAAAGTACAAAAAGTGCAAGGTGAATAATCTTCCCTGATAGATGGGATAAAAATTGTTCAATTCTGTGAAGGTTATTGGATATGATGACAGACACCTGAAGAGGGTATAACAACCAAAATATTGCGAGTATAAGGCACAAGATAAACATTCTTGAGTGACCATGTTTCTTTTTGATTCATGATTGACTTGGCAGAAGAATTAACACAGTAGGCTTTCTGCAATACACTGGTTGCCAAACAAAGCTATAGGACCCAGTCTGTCCTGTTATTTAAGCCATAGCTGGGAAGAAAAGAGATGGATTCATACCTTTCCACATATTTGTGCATAAGTGAAGCTGACAAAATTGACTGAAATTTGAACTCTCATTCCAAGCAGCTATTATTATACCAACCACACATTCTTTAAGATATATTAACAACAAAAACGTAAACTAATGTTTGTTGACCTGCAAACATATTCTTCAGAATTACTTTGCTCCTTATATTTTGAATAGGCTTATGATCATATCACATTGAAACACTGGTTTCTGTACAATCACTGAAGTTAAGCAATGTTGAGCCTGGTCAGTACCTAGATGGGTGACCACTTGAGAATACTAGCTGCTGTAAGCTTGGATATGCAGTTGCTATAATGGATGATTCAGAATTGTTAATCAGAGAGCTGAGCTCCAATTCCAGTTGGGTTCATTATATTTACTTGGAAAAAGTATGGATCCACCTATTCCCCCAGCTATGGGTTAATTAGTAAGACTTATTATCTACCCTATCCCCCAAAATTCTTACAATTTTAAAATATTTTCTGGATTTAAAAAAATTCTGTAAAGGGTTGATAAGCTGTAGAAAACAAATCAATCAATTGATATTTTAAATATTTAAACACATAATTTATTTCAGTATTTTTCCTTTTATTATAGAAACTTTATACAAATGATTAAGCTGTTTTAACATCTAATTGTCACCTACAGAGAATTGGACACACCACAGTTGGCTTAATTTGTCAATATACTTGTCTTACCTGTTTTCAGAATACTTTATTGGCATGTTTGAAATGGATTTATAATTGGACTTCCTTAACAATATCACATCATATGTGGCTTTCATTTGGGGTTCATCAAAACAAGGAAAGGCTTTTCGAGCACTGGTTGGCTCAAATTGAGTTGTTGCTAAATATCTGAAAATAGATAAAGAAACCAATAAGTTGCATCTGTTTGTTCTTTTTGTATCGAAACAAGATTGATTGTATTAAAAAGCAGATGCATATGAGTGCAGATGATAGATCATCATATGAATTGATTTACTTTAAAGTACTGAGAAAATTTTATTTCTACACGTAAGAGTTTCAGTGCATACATGGAAATTTGTTATCATTAGTCTCATAACTGGGTGCCTTCAATGGGTTGCTATGCAGCTGAGCACCTGACCAACTCCTTCTGCATGTCTTGGTTGTATGCCAATGACAGTGAATGATTTTTCTAGTCCATTCAGTGGTGATGTTAGCCCATTTTTTCCTCAGCCTCTTCTTTTGTTGGAACCTTTTATTTTGGAATGATTGTTGGATTTTATGTTGTGGCCATATTATTTCAACTTCCTCTTCTTGAGGTTAGGAAGTCTTTGTTATAATGTAAGGCATGAGTGTGTTGAGGTTGGGGAAAACACCTAACCAATTGCTCTCCAGGAGTAATAGGCAGAGAAGGGAAAGAGACAGGAGGTAACAAAAATAACACTACCACAGGAACTTTAGGAACTAAATGCCCATTGGATAGACTTCACAAGACACCATGTCTTGCCAACAGCTGATTGCGGTTTTTCCCATTGCTTTTATTGGCATGAGGCATCTTACAAAGACTTGGATCTTGACAAATTGCAGAGAGACTCATATCTAGACATGTCAAGCTGTCCTGCTGCTAACAGAGAAAACCTGGATATAACTAGTGTTGACAGACATATCTACATGTAATCTGGGGCATCTTTTGTGTCTGTACCAACATGTGTTCACCACAGTCTTCTAATGAGCCTGTTTCTTATCTAATGTTGTCTCACACTGTGTCATTTGGGATACAATCTACATAGGAAAGGCCTAGAATGATTCTGTAGCACCTTATTTCTAATGCCTGGATTTGTCACTGCAATTCTGCTGTTAATATCTAAGATTTGCTGGCATACAGAAAGAGAAAATTTTTATTCTTAACTTCATTAACCTGAAATCAAAATATGCAAATAAAACAGAATAGAAAATTGTTCACAAAAACATTAATTTCCATGCAATTGTAGTAATGACTTTTTGGCACTACTTTAATAGAATGGTTCACTCATAAAAAACAGGGAAAAGGTTTTTGTAGATTAGAATTCTGTTGACCTTCCCTAAGTTACAACACTTGTCAGAATTTAATTTTTTTTATTTTTTATCATTTTAGAATGGGGGTCTTCATAATAACTTTACAGTGTAAAACTAACCCCTGATTATTACAGACTTATTGCTTTGCTTGGAATGAAATGTTTTAAAAACAAAAAAGAGGTTGTAGCCTCTGTTATAAATAATATATAATACTTTTCTTTCCATACTTACATTGTTTTTTCCCCTTTCTTATAAGTACTGTAGTAAAGACCCATCAGGTCGTTTTTGATTGGTCCGCGAAATTCCATTTTCAAAGTTACGTTTGAACTTTCTTTGATCTCTTTTGCAAGACTGATGGTCAGCATCTCGTTTCCATCATCATAAGATGTTTCCAACACAGGGATGACTTCCGATGCAACAACCACAGAAATATTTGAAATGTTGAGCATTTGCGAATGAAGCAGAATATTCTGTGTAGAGTTTAAGCAAGCTATTTCAATTTTGACCCAGCCTTCTGAGTAAAAATCAGTCGCATTCTCTAAGTAAATATCTGGTTTCAATTCTATAATGTAGTGCATTGGTTTCAGATCATTTGGTAGTCTCCAATTTGTAATAGTAGTTTTTCTAAAACAAAACATAAGCAAGTTTTAAGAAAACAATAACTTTTGCATCTTCATTGATAGTGACATCAAGTGTCTATAGCAAATACCCTTAGATTTTCTCACAAAAAAATCATTATTGTATTAAATAAATATAATAATGCCAGAGGATGGCATAACATTTAATGATGTGGAAAATGGAACTAGCAGACCAAGTTCAAATTCCACCTGAGGTTGTTGTGCTTATTTTTGCACTAAAGCTCTTTTCTCCTCTCCAAGAGCTACAGATAAAAATGAGAGGGGAAGATTGTCTAGAGCAGTTTTTCTCTGTTGTATAAGAGTAGTGTTGTTGCCGACACTGTGGTTTGAAACTAGATCACCAGTGAGTAACATGGGCGATTCCATTAACTAGATCATGTGATCATAAAGTCAATAAATATGAAGTAGCTTGACAGCTAGTTGATCAGTTCACTCATCTTGCTATACGCTCATTCACTCTACTCTACTACTGTACAGATTACAATTCTCTTCTGATCATTATACTATTTGGTATTTACTAATTGAACAAGTATTATGAGTGCAGATATTATTGGAAGGTGTTACTACAAGTACCAGTGTCTACAAAGCACAAATATAACAAGCATTTTTGGAACTGATAATGAGCTTTTGCTTGACATAGCAAAAGTGACAAGCGAAGTCATCCAACATCACAAAATTCTCAACCTTTTTTTAAGCAATGGCACAACTAGGAGCAAATGAAAATATCACAGCACACTTAGCAAAATTTCTGAAGGGTATACATTTGAATGTTATGAAATAAAACCATAGATTTCTAAAAATTACACACACAAATATGAACTTACTTTATTTCAATGTTTCTATTCAACTACTTGGGCAGCTTATTTAGTGTGAAACTTGTGCCTGGTGTGTTTTCATGCTTTCTTCAATATTTTGTGGCACACTAGTGTGCTATGGCATGGTGGTTTAGAATCACTTAGAAGAAGGAAAAGTCTGAATTTAAACCACTTGTAAATATGCCATGGTTCTGTATTGCCCATTACTTTCCATATTTCCCACAGATGAAATGATGTTAGCCTCTTGTTACTCTATTGCTATTTTCATGTCAAATGTGCTACATTCTTTAGTTGCACCAGTTCAGACTGCCACAGCTAGGATCAATCATTGTCTTAGCTGGACTGCCTTAATAAAGTAAACAGGCAACAACTTCCCTCTTTGTTATCCATAACTGGGTGGAAGGGAGAAATTAGTTCATGCCTTTTGGAAGGGTATCAGTACAAAGTGTATAAGCATCTTCAGTACTCAAACTCAATTCTAATTCAACAGCATGGAACCCTCCCCATTTTTCAAGTAGGCATGTGACCAGCTATGGCACCTAACTGGTAGGGTTTTTATTGTCAGAGTAACCTTTTCTTAGCTGGACTTAACAGGGCAAACAGACCACAACTCTTCTGCTTTATTATCCATAACTGGATGGAAGTGAGAAATGGGTTCATGCCTTTTGCAATGGCATTAGGTCAAAGTGTATGTGTAGTAATGAAAGACATTCATCTTGTTGAACAAAGCACCTGCATGTTGCATTTATTCTCTGCTGAAAATACAAATCCAAGTCGTGACTAAAGCTTGTTAATCAAGAAATTAGCAGGGTATGCAAATTATTTATCTGACCAATGGTGGGTCCCTTGGGTGCCTATATAAACTGCTAAGAGGTGAGTGCCAAGGAAAGCTTCTTTGTAGACTCATGCATGATGGCATGTTGACAAATGTTATTGTTGACTGAAGGATTTTTTTCACTTAGAGTATGTAAGCAGCATCAGTATCAATTCTCCGATTCCATTTTCTGTTATAGCCGTCTACTCCTTTTATGTTACTTTATTATTTATTATTATGAGGCCATCTGGATATTTATGGGGTTGTTTTCAGTTAAGTTTTAATTTCATAAAAATTTTTGCAACACATTCTACAGAGATTCTGTGTTGATGACAGATTCAGAAGAAAATTTTAGATATAACTAATAGGCAAGGTAGTTTGCCTTCTGTTGAGATATATATATATATACATTTTAAAAATGTACTTATATATACTTTCACATACATCTTTATAGAATAATTTTGGATCAAATATGGATTAATATCTGTCAGAATGATAGGATAAGGAACAAATAGGAAATGCTTATAAATTTAATTAATCTTTATCGGAAATTTTTTGGAAACGAATTATGGAAGAATGTTCTGATACCTTTAGCTCTGTATTGTTTGTTTTTCATTAGTCAGGTAGGGGTCTTTGTCTTGTAGCGTTAATGTGTGTGTGTGTGTGTGTGTGTGTGTGTGTGTGTGTGTGTGTGCACTTATGTATACATTTGGATTCTAGTGGAAAATTTCGAGTTGGTCTGATATAATTCCTGAAGATGGTAGTGAAATGTTGGTGTGCCTGTACTTGTGTATCATATTTCTAGTTGGTCTTGTGGGATTTGGTTGATAATGTGTGTGCATGTGTGTGTCTAGTGGGCATTTTTGCCTCTATGTTCATTGGGAGATATTTTGTGTGGGAGTGAAAGACTTTGGTTACATCAGCCACACGTATGCAGATCTTAGATTCTTTAAGTATGGGTTTTAAGATGATAAGGAAAAAATTGTGTTTTGTGCATTTAATAAACACTTTCCTATTGATAACCATTAGGTTAATCATGTGAGCTGGTAGGTTTTTTTTTGTTTTTTTATCTCAGTCATATTTGATTTTGTCCTCACTAAAATTTATCGGGTTACTGTTTGGTTGTCTTGACAAATATACAAACAATATAAAAAATTTAAAAAAATCATAGAACTCACACATTTTTATTAAAATCTCATTTTGGAATCATAAATTGCACAGAATGAATGGTTTTGAATAGCAATAATAATAATAATGAAAATGAAATAGGTAATTATTGAAATAACAAACTTACTTTAAGCGTTTCTTTAGCCATTTAGCTCCAGCTGGCATAGAGTCAGTTACCCAACTCTCTTTCAAGAAATTAATTTCAAACAAATGATCACGATATGAATCTGAAATGTATTTGGCATCTTTCTGAAAATTTAAGAAAATTAGCAAGTTTTTATTATTTTCATAAAAAAAAAATTGAATAAATAAGTAAATATGATGTTATGGTGTTAGAAATACTTTTTTGGGAACATGAAGGACTTCTTAGTCTCTTAATAATCTTCTCTATTTTGTAGTGTTTCTCTGTCATGCTGATTCAAGGACAATTCATTGAACAGTAAAACTAATGCATACTGATGAATTGTCCCTGAACAAAATGTACATTTATTAATAGTGTGTGTGTTCATATATATATATATATATATATATACGCACACACACACACATCATGGGTTGACCCAAGCCTTGTGAGTGAAATTGGGTAGACAGAACCCTTGGTGGTCGTCGATAGCTGTGCTAGCACAAAGTTACGAGTCATCGTGGCCAACGGCTTGAGCGTGCTGGCCTTGTTCAAATTGTTGATAACTCTAGATAACATGCTCTTTCCTAGAAACTGTAACTAAGGTCTCCTCAGCATAGTTATAGTATAAACCATAGGTGGGGTTTGTGGTTGCTGAATAAAAACAAATGTGCCTGAGCAAGTGTCTGCAATAAGGATTGGCTAGCTGCCCAAGAAGAAGCGTATCCTCAAATATGAATTGCCAGCTACACACACACACACACACACACACATATATATAACTTGGACTCTCCCATTGTTTTCACTGTATGAGGATACAGAAACAGAAAGACAGTTTTTAGAATGAAACAGTCAAACTAGCTGCACATGATTTGTTTACAGTGGTGAAGGATTATGCAGAACCAACCACACTTTTTGGAAGAGCCAATACAGATAACTGGTGCACATACCCAAATGACATTCCTCAGGTTTTGAATTCAGAGTTGTCCTTTTCCTACCCTGGTTGCCAGCCAAGACTATAGGAACCAGGCTGTCTTGCTATTTGCTCATAGCTGGTTCAAGAAAAGATGGATTCATACTTTTCACAAAGGTATTTGTACATAAATGAATATATCGAACTTGACTAGAATTCAAACTCAGCTCTCTGATTACTCAATCTGTGCAGCTATTCATTATTTTACCATGCCTCATATATATATATAAAAATAGTATGACAAATTGGAAAAAAGTTTTTGTGATGCATTTCAGCCTTTTTTTCCATTATGTCATATTTTTCTAAATACTGTTTGTTTATATGTAAAAATATATAAAAAAAACACAAAATTATATATTGTTATATCATATATATATATATATATATATATATATATATATATATATATATATGCACATATATTGATGTGCCAAAAGTTAAGGGAAAACAGTATGTATGTAGTGCAGCAGAAATATCTCCCATATTTTAAACTTCTACCTATGTGGTGCTAGCGAACTTAGGCAAGTGGCAATGCTGTGTTCATCTAGCTAATTTTTTTTCAGATAACATTAATTACAATCATGGCTTGGACTGGTGTACACTGTGCATTTGCTGTCAAATCATTTTTTTAGATTGGTGAATCCATAATTGCAACAGAGAGCTTTTTGTGCTCATTTCATGTTATGTAGGAATGTTATGTTCCAGATTGAAAATTTCAGAGCCACTGGATCAACATTTAAAAGAAAGCAATCTGGAAGACCTCAAATCATGATGGAAAACTTTAGAAATCATCTACAAGAGTGTATAGCAAATAGAGGCCACCATTTGGAGGATGTCATTTTTAAAACCAAATGAATAAAAACTGTAGACCTTTGTTTAAACAACAGCAAAATAAAATTTTTAATACCTTGGTCTTTTTGTTAACCTTTAAAATGTGGGAGGTATTTATGCTGTACTATGTATAATGATAAGTCGTACCACCTTATTTTGACATAATAGAAATGCCAAACCTATCAGCTGTTTCTGATATCTGGTGATCAGTATGAATATCAACTAGCCTGCTAGTCACAAGACAATGTGAATTATTAGAGGGCATAATAGTGGTTGTTAGACAGATGGGATATTCCATTTTTGAAATTGAGGCAACATTTCACATCCCTCAATCTTCAGCATTATGTATGTTGTGAAAATACCTGATAGAGAGCATTACTGACCATTTCAACAGTTCAATATTCAGAAGAACAAAATAAATAACAGTAATATCACATATTTAAACTTTTCTAGCATAATAAGCAACGACTCCAACATGTTACTTTATTACCAGAAGTTTTTGTTTTACCTGAAAAAATATCACCTAATAAGTTATTGTGTGGGTGCATATATATATATACACTGCATGCCAAATTATTATCAAGATAACTTTTTTTCTAATATTTCAAAAACCGTCCAATCAATTCACACAAAATTTTCACACAATGTTGGTAACAGTGACCCACACAATCACTGAAATTTTCGTACTGCTCTGCATAATGTAAACAAACTGGCGCCACATTTGTTATCAGCACGGTGATTTGAGCGTGCCAAATTATGAGAAAAATGTAAGAATTTAGTGAAAAGATGGGCCGTAAAAGCAGTTTAAGTGATGCTGAAAAGAAAACTATCACCTCAGAACTCTCAAAAGGTAAATCTACCCTAGAAATTTCTAAAATGATAGGGAGGTGTCATCAAACATTGAAAAAGTTCACCGCCGACCCTACACAAGTACGCAAAAGGGCAGATAAAGACAAGACGAGGGTTATTTCACGTCGTCTCATGTAACGACTTAAACGAGAGGCCACGAAGAACCTTGGACTTACCAGTCAAGAGCTTTTCAGTCGCATTGGTGATTCTACTGTGTCTAAAAGTACTCGGTGTCAGTATCTGAGGGAAATAGCAACAACAGTCAAACCTGTATCGAAGCCTCCATTGACAAGAAATCACATTCAAAATCGATTGAAATGGGCTGAGGACAATATGAAGATTGACTTCTCTAAAGTTTTGTTCAGACGAAATTCAAGCAACACTTGATGGGCCTGATAGATAGTGCAAAGGCTGGGTAATGAATGGACAGAATCGCCATCATCGTTTGAGACGCCAACAAGGCAGTGGAGGCATAATGATCTGGGGTGGTATTATTAGAAAAACATTAGTGGGCCCATGGAGAGTACCAGATAGTGTCAAAATGACTGCTGATGCATACATAGCATTTATGAAGGAGCATCTTGAACCGTGGATGAAAAGGCAAAGAGTTGCCTTCAGAAGGGCCATTGTTTTTATGCAAGATAATGCTCCCTCACATGCTGCTCACAAGACTACTGAGTATTTGAAACAGGCTTCAATGGACCTCGAAAAATGAAGTGGCCAGCAAATTCTCCGAATTTGAACCCAATCAAAAACCTTTGAAGCATCATGAAGCGAAGACTGTACACCAATGGATGACAATTCAGGAGCAATGCTGAGTTGTGGGAAGCAATTCTTAACATATCTCACGGCATTACAGCAGATGACATCCTACAATTAACAAATTCTATGGATCGTTGACTTCTTCAAGTAATTTCAAAACAGGGAAAGCACATTCCTATTAATTTGTTTAAAACTGTGCTTTTGTTTGTATCTGTTATTATTTGTTTGATTATCTTATTTATTAGCTTCTTTTGATCATAAACTTTCACATGCAACATTAATAAACGTTTTGTTTGCTCAATTCTGGGAATTTTATTAAACCTTTCTAATAATTTGGCATGCTCAAATCACCGTGCTAATAACAAATATGGCACCAGTTTGTTTACATTATGCAGATCAGTACGACAATTTCAGTGATTACGCAGGTCAGTTTTGCCAACATTCTCGATAATGATTTGGCATATAGTGTATATATATATATATATATATATATATATATATATAGTGATTAATAAAATATAAAATTTGTCACTTAGCTGATTGATGATATATTCAACACCCCAACTCTAGAGTTTCATAGGCAAAACTTTTTTTTAATTGTTCAGTCAACTTGTCAGTAGGAATCAGCAATTCTCTGCCAATTTTCTTTTATTTGTTATTTTGATATTAAGTTAAAACATAATTTGTGTATTTTATTGGTGTTAGGTTGATTTTTTCTTCTTTGTGTAAAATCAGTAAACAACATGTTTCCATGAGAGTATTTTCTCTTTCTGGTTTCTTCAAGTTAGAATGAAAGAAAGACAAAACTGTATGTAAGGAAAAATGCATTGTGATCTCTGAGGATAAGTTGGGGGTCATAAATCAACATTCTAACCAGAAAAAGTCATAGAGAGCAGGTTCTTTCAGCAAAACACATTTATAGATTTTTCATTTTATCTCATCATCTTCAAAATATATATATATATATATATATATATATATATTTTGAACAATAAAAAAGTTAAAATCTTCAGACACACTGGGTTGTAGATTAATATTCTTTTGATTTTTTATTATTATTATTTCATTTAGATAGTCTACTAGTTTCGGCCCAAAAATGACCATCATCAGGAGGAGAAATATTTCTGCTTGCTGGTAGCAATAAACTACAGAAATGAATGTCTTGCTGGAGAAAATGAACTTTTGTCTATAGTTTTCATTTGTTTTTTTATTTTTTTTATCTTTTTGACATGAATCTTTTAACATTCCTTGTGTTGGTCAAACAGTCTCTTTTAAGTTGTTATTTGAGATAAGAGCTTCTCTGAATTCCCATGGTCATTTTGACAGTTTTATTGTCCTGGAGAGGGGATGTGTCTCTGTTTAGTGTTCGTGTGTGTGTGTTATTTGGTTCTTAGGGAGTGAGTGAGTATGATATGTGTAAGCATGTGTATTGCTGTGGGTGTGTGTTATCATTTGGCTCATTAGGGAGTGAGTGAGTATGATGTGTGTAAGTGTGTATGTTCGTGTGGTATATATATATATATATATATATATATATATATATATATATATATATATATATATATATATATTTATATATGAAATTCTATAGAATGAAAAAACAATATATATATAACTCAAAATGAACCAACCAAATGCAAAATGTCATAGTCTACCAAATCTGTGACTGATTTCGCAACAGTAACACAAGGGACTGACATGTCTCTGTAAAATAGAAGATACAAACAGAGTGAGTTACTTTACAAATAAATGAAATAAACATAAGGAAAAATAAGTTTTATGACTGTTTGTTAAATTATTCCTCTATTGTATTTTGGTTTGGTTGTTTTTATTTAGTGGCATATCAACACCACCAAGTGTTATTTAAGGCCAAAATATAAATATGAAAATTCCAACTTTATAATTTAATCATGAAATAATGTAATTCTCTTGAATTATAATTAGCTGCATTTTTTTTACCAAATCTTACAAAATCAAACAATGAGTGAAAACTTGTTTCTCCTTACAAGAAAAGAGATTAATCATAGCAAACTGTTTAATGCATCATTATCAGAAATAATGTTTTCTATAATATAAAGCCTTTTTTCCTCCACTCATTATCAAACAATTACATTCAAACAAAAAACATTATTAACTAAATCCAAAAATTGTTTGAACTGCCAAACCCATTCTTTGCATTGCTTTCAGTTTTACTACAATGTTGCAGTTCAATTCAGTCCAATCATACGGGAAGCAATGTTTCAATGTGATATGGCCATAAGCGGATACTGAATAAAGTTGTTGCTTGAATATAAGAGGAAAGGGCTAAGAAGTGCAGATTATGAGGATACATAGGAAAGATAACAGTTGACACTAGACTTGAAGAGGTTAAGATGGATGTGATTGTGGAAGCATCCACTCGGGAGTCTTGGGAAGAAGGTGGTCTGAATATAACTTCCTTCTTATTAATGGGAGAAATAGGGATGATTCTTTCCAACGTACATGGCATGGAGCATCTTAGCTGTAAAGGATCAGAACTAATGGAACAAATAAATGTAGTTTGTCAGTACATTTTTCTTGGAAATAGAGATATTTGTGATAAGCTTGTGACACTGAATTCGTGGGAAAGGGGTTTCAGGGTGGAAAATAACTAATCATCCACAAGGTTTTGTAGAAAAGAAATAGTGGCCAATATTCTGATCTACTTGGCTCATTCCCAGCAAAGTGAGGCAGGCAAATAGTACCATTCTCAGCATGTAAAATGGATTGGCTGAAACATTATAACAACAAAAGCAATAAAATCAAAGTCAAATTGTCTAAACAACACTTTGGATGATAATGATGCTTTTCAGTATTATAGACAGTAGTGATGTTTGGGTAAAGTTAATGATGCTTTTCAGTATTATAGACAGTAGTGATGTTTGGGTAAAGTTAATTCATTTCAAATCTCTAAACATAAATATTTTACTTAATGAATTTTTTCAATTACGAGACAGAATACACATTGCTTTGGATACATGCACAGTTTAATAGTGATATTTTTTTTAAATGTTTCAATGATCATAAAAGCAACTTTGGATATTTATGGCCAAATGATCCAGGTCATTGATTAGGATTAAAAAAAAATCAAAATTAGCACTAGATTATTAGTATTTGCATTAGTAATTATGAAGTCAATATTTGGTATCAGCACAGTGGCAAAGTGTTTATTACCATCACTAAAATATTGAAGAAAAAGGTTTTGCTCATTAGCTTAAAATAATTTAAACACATGAATTCATTTACGCCTGTATATGCTATGCCACATCTTTAAACTAGAGTTGATAACATAAATGTCATTGATGTTAAGCAACTTTTCTGGCATCTATTACTGCCTGAAAGTATATATTTATATTCAAAAGATATCTATATTGCAAACATATGGGAATTTAAGCTCAATTTCAAATCTGTTCCTATTTATAAAATTCATATAAAATATACTGTTAAAATTTGCTAATGTTTATAGAGATAGACAATGTGGACAGACACCAGGCAGTGCTGATTTCTATGTTCCTCCAGTCTATATCTAAAATTTATATTATAATTATTTTCACAGGGAGCAATTCCCTAATTAGCTGTTAATAGACTTGGAGTTATCTACCTTAGAGAGTATTTTTTTTGACAAAGGTCAATTTATACTTAATTAAAAATTAATTGAAAACTAATTAGATAATTATTATATAGATAGTCTGTGAAGGATAACTAATCTTTATATAATGAATATAAGTTAGCTTATTTCCTTTAAATATTTTTGACAAAAAAATTAAAAACTAAGGTTAATGTAATAGTCATTTTTTCCATTTTAAATTAACAAAAATATCTTGAATTTCAGGAGAAATCTGATTCTCAAAAAGTTTGAATAAAATTTTTTCATAATATAGAATTAAATATGCATGAAGTTATTATTTGAATGATGCATTTTGTATTAACTGAAAAACTGATTAATACTTTCAAATGTGGCATGTTTGAAATATTTACAAAATAAAAAAAACATTCTTTTTTAATTTGGGAAAAAGAGAATTGACATGAAAAATCTGAGAAGAAAACATCAATGCCTCAACAAAACTGACTTACCCTGTGCCAACAGCAATTGAATCATTAAACTGACACTTAGAATCAAGAAATGCCTTAACAATGGGTGTTCCTACAGGATTTCGTGCAATGTATGCAATAATGGTTGACAATTCTTTCTGAGACAAAGATTCTGACTTTACAACATTTTCCAAATGGCTGCAAACCGACATGCATATGAAACAAAATGAGAAAAAATTAAAACACAAGCAAACAAGCCATGCAATTATAATTAAGAGTCAAACGTATTTCTGTAAGATGATATGATAATGAGATGATATAGAAATGATTTATTTGTTGGAATCAACAATAGTTATATTGTAACAATGACTTATTAGTGTTTTTGGTACTGGGAGCCATTCGTTTCAAGAATATTTTAAAGAATATTATAATATATATATATATATATGAGAACATTTCTTCATAAGTTCAAGAAGAATTTGTATTACTACTACACACAAAAGACAATGGTTAAACATGAGAAAACATAAGAAAAAAATTAATTCCTTTAAATAATGTGGAAATAACCATTCGTTGCCTGATGAAGGTCACAAGACCTGAAACGTATGTAGATAAAAATATGGAAAATAAAGTATATTTTTTTTTAAAAATCCACATAATAACCAAAAACGTTTGTGGCTTTTCTTTGAAATATATACTTTTCTCTTATTGGAACAACTATAGTCACTATATATATATATATATATATATATATATATATATATATATATATATATATAATTATGTATTTGAATAGCAATCCCTCTTTTATGCAAGATTCATAAAAATGACTGACAAGGTACTGCAGCTATTTACCTTGTTGGCTACCAGGTCTGTAATTTAATAATTTAATTATATGACCCGGCAGTCAACAAGGAAAGTAACTGCAGTGCCTTGGCAATCATTTTTAATGAAATATATATATATATATATATATATATATATATATATATATATATACTAGCAGTAGAGTCCGGCATTGCCCGGGGATGTAACAGTAAGAGATAGATCAAGTATCGACCATCATAAAGACTGAAAAATAAAATTGACAAAGATTATTGTTTAAGGTTGACAGACACGCATGTCTTAATTAGTTTTTTTTTTTTTTTTTACGAATTGGTCAAACCCAAATTCAAACAAAAACATTGTTTACAATCGTTATGAGACTATCGATTGGTGAATAGAATTTTATTATAAACAATTGTCTTGTAAATAGAATTTTTAAAGCATTCTGAATGTAAATAAAGAAAAAAGTGTGCAAGACAATAAGAAATACTACCTGCCGAAAAAAAAAGTGGGTGTTTGTTTTATCGGCTGAAAAATGTAAGAAATCCAATCCCATATATAAAGAAACACACACACACACACACACATAAACAACCTGGGGTTTTTAACCTAAGTCACTCCACGGAATCGCTAAAACATAGAGCATAGTCTGATGAAAAAGACACCAAAGTTTATGAAAACAAAATTTTATCGTCAAAATGCTTATGTTTTATGAAGAGGATAGACTAAATTTTTTTTTAATTATTTTTAAAAAATTTTTCCATCTTTTTAGAATATTCTAAATTTTGATTTAAAAAACCTTGTTTCTCTTTGTCGCAACAAGGGGTAGTAAATAACATAGATAATTTTTTGCGCATTTTTTTGTATTTACACCCATTAATTTGGAAAATCTTGCAAAAAATAAAAATAATTGTCAGATGTTAATGAAACTTTCAGAAACTATTCACAGATGATCGAAATTATTATAAATATGTTTTTTTTTTTATTAAAGTCATGGCAGAAATATTTTTTTTTATATTTATTAACACCCCATAACTAATTTTATGAAAAACTCTAGAAATTGAGACCATCGGTTTTAGTGATTACAAAAAAAGCACAAGGCTTTGAAGAATGCAAATCATGTTTTTGGGGGGTTTTTTTTGGCCAATGTACCTGAAAATCAGCTGTGAATTGTAACATACAAAACTCAATAAAACAAATATATTATTTAGTTTCAAATGCTTTTATTTGTTTTAATTTGTTTTTATGAATATGGATAATATTTTCTGAAAGCAAAAAATTTTTCAATTAAAATTGAATTTTAATACAATTATTTCTTATTTCTTTAATTTTAAAAAGATTTTTAAAAAATGTTTAAATTGAATTTTAAAAATATTTTAACATTAGTTAAAAGCAACATCAACCTTTCAAAATGTCCGTGTGAGATTGTCATTGTCTAGTGCTTTGAAAATTGTATAATTTGGACCAATCAGATTAGCCATGGTAATTAAGAAATGTAATTTTTGTGTTTATAGTCGGACAGTAATTATCAAGTACAGAAGACCAACCAGTATACAATTTAGTTGCATTATTTGAGTTCAGCATTGTTCTCCGCTGTTAAGCTCTTTACTTTTGCGAAACACGTATGGAGAAGTTAATTTGAGTTTTCAATTTCAACTGAGAAGGGTACCTACAAGTAACAGTATCATCTTATGAAATTTAACTACTGCTAAACTTTAATTTATATGATCTTATTTTTATATTAATCTCAGTTATGACATTTTTCCATAAATGAAATATCAAAATTAATAAAATGAATGGAAATACAAATAACACAGTAAAATGTAATT